ACTGATTGAGGGTAGAGATCATCACACCTGGATCAGATGAAAATGAGAGGTAGAAGTGAGTATCATCAGCATATTGATGGCAGTTCCTCCATTCCTTCTCCATTCTCAAAGCTGGCTCCAGTCTCACCATGGTGGGCTGGTTTTACTTCAAGTGCAGTGCTTTGCATTCCTTTACAGCCATTCATTTACATAAGAGACAGCAGGGAGTGCAGCTGGAAATACCATTGGCTTCAGCACAGCACCTATTCCCTGCCCCTGCAGTTCTCAGACATAGTAAACACCATGTCTGATCCTATTTCCAGCTCTGCCCTATGTTGGGTCTCTTGGTTTTCTTAATCTGGTACCCTTCAGCTGTACAATTTCCATAACTGGCCATGCTGTCTGGTGTTGATGGGCATTGTAGTCCAATGCACTAGCTCCCTGGATTGGGGAAGCCAGCTCTTAAGCAGGATGGGGAAATGGTCAGAGCATGACAGATGTGGGCACTCTACAATATGCATTATGCAGGCCTCAGGTACATAAGAGCCAGTGTGGCACAGTGGTCAGAGTGTTGGACTAAGATTTGGGAGATCCAGGTTCTAGTCCCCATTCATTAATGAAGATCACTGGTTAACTTTAGACCAAGTACTGACTCTCAGTGTAACATAGAAACATAGAAACAGAGCGAGTCAGAAGGGGTCTCCTGGGCCATCTAGTCTGACCTCCGGCACCAGCCGGCTCCGCTCACGACATGCCCACCATGTGCATGTAACTTCACAAGGTTGTTGTGGGAATAAAACAGAGAAGATAACTGTGTAAGCCACCCTGCTTTTTTTGGGGGGGGGGGGCGGGGAGGAAATAAATAAAGCAGGAGGAACATTATGCCATTTCCCTATAAATGCAGGACAGCATTACTTGGCAACACAATGCTTTTCTGCTGGTAGGAATTCAGGGGCAACATGTTTAGCCAGAAAAGGGGCTGCCCTTGAAAACGGTCTGGATATTGCAACTGGCACAGAATAGAGCTGTCAGGCTGCTGACGGGGACCAGCCATTGCTCTCACATAACGCCGGTCCTCTACCAGCTCCACTGGCTTCCAGTTGAAGTCCGGGCCCAATTCAAGGTGCTGGTTTTGACCTATAAAGCCCTAAATGGCTTGGGTCCAGGATACCTGAAGGAATGTTTCCTTCCTTATATGCCCTCATGCCCCTTAAGATCTATGGGAGAAGCCCTACTCCGGGAACCCTCTCTAAGAGAGGTAAAAATATCATCAACTTGGAGCAGGGCCTTCTCTGCTGTGGCATCCAGACTCTGGAATGTACTCCTCAGAAAGGTACACCTGGCACCAAGTTTATACACTTTTTGGCACCAAGCCAAAACCTTTTTATTTAAACTGTTTTAAAACTTAATAGTTTTTAAGTTTAGTTGCTCTGTTTGTTTTGTGGTTTATTGTTTTGTTCTGTTTTATTATTTATTGAAATTGTTGTTATAATTGTCTTTTTAAATATTGTAAGCCGTCCTGAGATCTTTTATAATAGGATGGCACACTAAAGCTTTTAATTAATTAATTAATTAATTAATTAATTAATTGAGTCCTACAACCCCCCACCCCCAGACAGCTATGCAACAGCATTTCTGAATCTTAAGAATCTAGTAACTGCCTTCTTCAACCAGTGTTTATCCAATTTTGGGCTTCAGAGGACAGTTTGAGAACATGGAATGGCAAGGTACATTATCTTGACTGAATGGCACAGGTAAATCATGAATGTTTAGAAATCATCTAAACCCATTCCTTGAATCAAAAAGTATATGCCAATCATTGACAGAAAATACTAGAAAATACTGTTGGAACTAGACATTCTTTTGCAGGGGAATAATCCTACTAAAACCACATTGGAAATCCCTATATTTAATCTTCTATTAATGACTAAATCAGAGCTTGATCTGAGCCAGCTTTTAGCCCTGGAATGTGTGACATGCTGAAAAAAACCCACAACACAATAGTAATGAAACTCTATTGTTGTTTGCCAAAGGAGACCTAAGATATTATGCAAAATTTGTTTTATGCTGCAGAACTAACTCGATTTGCACTGAAGGGCTCAGCTACAAAATTAGGAGCCTAATTTTACATTCCACACAGTAGTTGGTGTATGAAAAATCATATCTTGACATCTGTTCTCCATTTATTTGAAAGTAAACAGTGTATAGTTAGTTCCAAAAAAGACAACTGGGTATATGTGGTGAGAACAATAAGTGTATGCTAAGCTATTTTAGATTACCGTGTAACACTTGCTCTTTGTCCAAAACTTATTTTCAAAGCAGCGTACCTAGCTAAACTATTTTATGAGGCAGTTATATGAAAGGTTGGCTTAATATACTTTTATGCACTTTTGGGAGGAAACCAATTAATTGTACAAATAAACAGAATAAGGGAGAATTCTTGCTAACTGAATAATTGATAGTATGATTATTATACTTCTCTTCTTCCACAGGAGTAACTTTATAGTTTTAAGAATGCCCCTTTGCAAAGGTAATTGAATGCAAGTAAGTTGAAACGCCATTCCTTTGCTCTGTAAGGATCATGTTTCCAGGATTATTTACATGAGGTATCCACCGTGGGAAGTTACTTGCTTAGTCTGTGGCAAGGTAAAAGCTGAAGCTAAAAGGTCAACAGCACCCTTAGTTCACTGATGATGATGCCTACCTTTACAGAGTGATTGTTTCAGAGTGTACAAAGATTGGAGGGTTCAAGTTCATGTTGTGATTGCACAGTCGTGTTAACATTTGTGTTTTAGGCAGGAAACAAATAGAATCACCAGTTTGACATATGCCATCTTGATTCATATTCATTAATATGATGTGTATCAAAAACCTTCATTTTCAACAAGAAAGAATAATTTATTCTTTCTTTTCCACTTCTTTTCTGTTACTTGCTTTTTCAGTTGCTTTGGTTCCTTCTTATCTCAGAACATTACAAATTGTTATGCTGTAATTACTGCAAACTACTATGGGTCTCTTTCCTAGAGAGTTATAGGAGCAAGAACTTCCTAATTGGATGTGACCAGTTGATCTATAGTTATATTTTACTTGCCAGTGTCACTCACCAGCACTAGACAGACAGACCTTGCAAATCTAATTGAAATAATATATCTACTGATTTCCCATTCCATGAATCCCCTGCATTCTCCATTACAAATATTCTATTTTTTGGAAGTATGTGGATTTATATTGAGCCTGGCTAATATAATGATATTGTATGCCAGGCTTGTTGGGGAAGACTGTCTGTAAGCAGAGCCCGCTGCACAGGCATAACCTTGCGATAAAGAATCCAGATTGTGCACATTTCTACATCTTGCAGGGGGCTTATGCAAGTGGTGCAGCCCCCCCCCCTTAAATATCTACCCCCTTTGTGCATGGAGAATGCTGATAGGGATGCAACAGGCTACTGGAGCTATGGGCCCATATTTTCCCTTACATGATTCTCAGTTGTGTGGGGGGATTGCTCAGATAGGGCTTGTTTCTGCAATTACATTGATTTATCTGTTTATGAAAACTTTTATATACGCTCTGTGTTAGCCAAAAGGATCTCCAAATGGTTTACAATATTTTTAAATATTGGAATGTTTATACCTCACCAAAGTTTTCAAGCTGTCTTACAATATATTCAAAATACAAGAGCATTGCAAAGCTATATACCACCCCTGCCCAGTCCTCAGGTCTTTCCATTGTCTTCTTGCTGCTTTATCGCTGAGTCCCAGCAGGCACTAGAGGAAACAACATTGTCCCAGAAATGGCTGTTGAATGGCAGCCAGAGGTTATCTACTCTCAACACAAGTTCCCCTCCATTTCAGTGTACTTAGAGTTATTGTTGCAAACACTACTGTATTTTTGTATTTAGTGGTAATTTATTATGTTCTATTGTATTTCAATGTATTTTATTGTGTTGTAAGCCGCCCCGAGGCTTCGGCAAGGGGCGGCATAGAAATGTTGTAATAATAATAGTAGTAGTAATAATAATAATAATAATAATAATAATAATAATACTGTATTTCACATACTAATAAAGACACACAGGGTTGTAAGTTAGCAATGCCCCAGAGAAAGCATCCAAGCCCCTCTCCCATCTTCAGTGAAGAAGCAGCTGCATAACTTGTTGAATGGCTGCACACCAGTCAGTAGGAATGCTCTCCTTTCTTCCCTTGATTTTGATCTGGACCCCAGAAAGTTTCTTCAGCTGAGCTACTGATGGAGCTGTCCATGGTAACCACCCTTTTGAATAGGGAATTTAGCTGGTGAGTTCCAACAAGATTTTAGCCAAAACAGGGCCACTGAGAAACAAGGGGAGGCACCCATAAGTGTAGGCTATACTGGCTGAGGACTGTGGGACCTCTGGTCTCCCACATCTGGCAGGCACCAAGTTGGGGAAGGCTGAGGTACAGTATGTGGAAACTCATACTGTTGTGGCTTTGCAGTGTTTTACATCAAGGAATTGCTGATATGCGATGGGAAGGAATCATCAAGAGCATCCCATCCTGCAGAGGGACTACACTGCTTCAAGAGGAAACGTTTAGTGGGCAAGGTCTTTCATAAGGCTGAGTTCATATTCCATATTAACACCTGCCCTGGATTTTGCCTTTCTGATCACAAATGGAAGTTTCTCAAGCAGAACCACAGGCTTCCACAAAGTCCCTTTGCACTGTTTATATTAAAATAGTAACCTGTACCCAAAGAGGTTAAAAATTCCACACATCTTCATATGTGGTTTCAGTCAAGAAATCCCAGGTCTTGTGGAATTAATATCCAGGAAAACTGGCCAAAATGGATGTGCAAATACGACTATAGGTCATTTCTTTCCAGGCTAAAGCACTTCATGAATGAGTTTTATGTGAAAATACTGATGAAGTGACTGCTTAAAAGAGTTGTCCACTAGAAAAATATAATGTATCTATCACAAATGTATGAATTATCAGTCATTAATATAAAAAGAATATAAAGGGAGTACTAGTTATTCTTAAGTACAGTTCCCAGTGCAATATCTTATTGCTTTTTGTGTCTATTTTTTTCTTCTCTCTTTTTAGGGATGCCCTCTGCCTATTCACAACTAATACTACTTTTAGCAGTATTTATCAGTTTTATCTCTGGAGAAACAGAAGTCAAGTTCGCTGGACAAACAGAATTTGTAGTTAATGAAACAACAACAACAGTTATACGTCTTGTTATTGAAAGAACAGGAGAACCAGTGAACATCACAGCAATTGTATCAGTAAGAAACATTTATAATCTAATTTTCCTTTGTGACAAAATTCTTTGACTCAATAGTAGCACTTTTTTTTAAAGAGGATGAACAGGTTCACCCAGGTTCTCAGCAAACTTTGGAAGGCAAAACTGGCACTTGTGATGATCAGTCCCAAAAGCCATTTAACACTATGGTTGTGTGTGTATTCCAGATTCATGGTGAAAATACAGGTGACTTTTTTGACACATATGCTGCAGCATACATATCTGAGGCAGAAAGAAATCGAACTGTTTACATCTCTGTGTGTGATGATGATCTTCCAGAAGCTGATGAAACATTCATATTTTATTTGACTTTACAGGTGAGAATATATATTTTTATGATGCAGGAACAGACATGTGGCCTAAGGAGAACAAAACTTGGCCTTCCCAATATTCTTGTTATAGACTGTAAAGTTTAGACTAACACTGTAACATTTTGTTGTTGTTGTTAGTCGCAAAGTCATGTCCAACCCATTGTGACCCCATGGACAACGTTCCTCCAGGCCTTCCTGTCCTCCACCATCCCCTGGAGTCCACTCAAGCTCACACCAACTGCTTCAGTGACTCCATCTAGCCACCTCATCCTCTGCCGTCCCCTTCTTCTTTTGCCTTCTATTGTTCCCAGCATTAGGCTCTTCTCCAGGGAGTCCTTCCTTCTCATTAGGTGGCCAAAGTATTTGAGTTTCATTTTCAGTATCTGGCCTTCTAAAGAGCAGTCAGGGTTGATCTGCTCTAGGACTGACCAGTCTGATCGCCTTGCAGTCCAAGGGACTCGCAGAAGTCTCCTCCAGAACCACAATTCAAAGGCCTCAATCCTTTGGCGCTCAGCCTTCCTTATGGTCCAGCTTTCACAGCCATACATTACAACTGTATGTTGTACACACTTTTGTTGGCAGGGTGATGTTTCTGCTTTTTAGTATGCTGTCTAGATTTGCCATAGCTTTCCTCCCCAGGAGCAAGTGTCTTTTAATTTCTTGGCTGCAGTTCCCATCTGCAGTGATCTTGGAGCCCAGGAAAATAAAATCTGTCCCTACCTCCATTTCTTCCCCATCTATTTGCCAGGAAGTGAGAAGACAGGATGCCATGATCTTAGTTTTCTTAATGTTGAGTTTCAAGCCAACTTTTGCGCTCTTCTTCTTCACCCACATCAAGAGGCTCTTTAGTTCCTCTTCACTTTCTGCCATTAGAGTGGTATCATCTGCATATCTGAGGTGGTTGATATTTCTCCCAGCAATCTTAATTCCAACTGGTGATTCATCCAGCCCCGCCTTTCTCATGATGTGCTCTGCATATAAGTTAAGTAGGCAGGGTGACAGTATACAGCCTTGCCAAACTCCTTTTTCAATTTTGAACCAATTAGTGGTTCCGTGTCCAGTTCTCACTGTTGCTTCTTAACCCGCATATAGGTTTCTCAAGAGACAAATAAGATGGTCTGGTATTCCCATCTCTTTAAGAACTTGCCACAATTGGTTGTGATCCACACAATCAAAGGCTTTAGCATAGTCAATGAAGCAGAAATAGATGTTTTTCTGGAGCTCCCTAGCTTTCTCCATGATCCAGCATATGTTGGCAATTTGATCTCTAGTTCATCTCCCTCTTCGAAATCCTGCCTGTATTTCTGCTAGTTCTTGGTCCACATACTGCTGGAGCCTAGCTTGCAGGATTTTGAGCAAAACTTTGCTAGCATACTGTATATTCATCAGGGATATGATTTAGGTCATACCTGAGTGGCCTAGTGCTTTTCCCTACTTTCTTCCATTTAAGCCTAAATTTTGCAACAAGAAGCTCATGATCTCAACCACAGTCAGCTCCTGGTCTAGGTTTTTACTGACTGTATAGAGCTTCTCCATCTTTGACTGCAGAGCACATAGTCAATCTGATTTCTGTGTTGACCATCTGGTGATGTCCATGTGTAGAGTCGTCTCTTGGGTTGTTGGAAAAGAGTGTTTGCTACGACCATCGTATTCTCTTGACAAAACTCTACCAGCCTGTGCCCTGCTTCATTTTGTACTCCAAGGCCAAACTTGCCTGTTATTTCAGTTATCTTCCTACTTTAGCATTCCAATCCCCCATGATGATAAGGACATCATTTTTTGGTGTTAATTCTAGAAAGTGTTGTAGGCCTTCATAAAACTGGTCAACTTCAGCCTCTTCAGCACCAGTGGTTGGGGCATAGACTTGGACTATTGTGATGTTGAATGGTTTGCCTTGGATTCGAACTGAGATCATTCTGTCATTTTGGAGATTGTATCCCAGTACTGCTTTTCCTACTCTTTTATTGACTATGAAGGCTACTCCATTTCTTTTGAGGGATTCTTGCCCGCAGTAGTATACCTGGTGGTCATCTGAATTAAATTCACCCATTCCTGTCCATTTTAGTTCACTGATTCCTAAGATGTCGATGTTCAGTCTTGTCATCTCTTGTTTGATCACATCCAGCTTGCCTTGATTCATGGATCTTACATTCCAGATTCCTATGGAGTATAGATCTTTGCAGCATCGGACTCTCCTTTCACCACCAGATACATCCGCAACTGAGTGTCCTTTCGGCTTTGACCCAGTCGCTTCACACTTTCTGGCGCTACTAGTACTAGCCCTCTGCTCTTCCCCAGTAGCATATTGGACACTTTCCGACCTGAGGGACTTATCCTCCAGTGTCATATCTCTTAGCCTTTTGGTACTGTCAATGGGGTTTTCATGGCAAAGATACTGGAGTGGGTTGCCATTTCCTTCTCCAGTGGATCATGTTTTGTCAGAGCTCTCTGCTATGACCTGTCCGTCTTGGGTGGTCCTGCACGGCATAGCTCATAGCTTCATTGAGCTACGCAAGCCCTTTCACCACGGCAAGGCAATGTAACATTTTAGGTTGACTTAAACATTTAAAGCCTCTTTCTTCTCCCTTATAGACTCACGCACAGCTCAGTATCTGCTCTGGGGATCCCTTAATCTTACAGAGCATAATTTGAGACTTCACAAGGGGAGACTCACTCCCTACACACACAAACACAGTGCAGCTACTTTAAGTACAACCAAACTGGCAACACACCTGTCTTATGGTCTCTCTAGAAAATGGCTTAGGGTTGGACAAACTTTGAAGGATTGGGAGTTCCATAGTGGTAAAACACACATGCATTTTTCTATATGCCATTCTCTTTTGAAGTACTTGGTCAAGTTGTAGAATCCTTGTGCCTTATTGATGCTTGCCTGCCCAATTCTTATTGTTCAGAATTGCATTGTAAGTGTATGCAGGTCACAGAATATTTAAGGTAGCATCCAGTGAGGCCACTGCACTCCTGACAGTTCTATTGCACAAGCAGGTCCCACTGGTTGAACAATGGGGATTTAGGACTTCATTTATTCATTATATTATTGGGAATATATTATATTCCCAATCCAGAAATATTCATTTCTGGATTGGGAACCATTTGAAGGTGTTCAGTTACCCAAGCTCCACAGATCTGCCATGTTCTGGAAATAAGTATTTCTGCTTGTTTCTGGTTCCCATTCAAAATGCTATATCCTCATTGCACAAGTGACGGGTCCCAATTTTTTCATCTTTCCCCTTTTGTTATAGAAAATCCCTATGGATTAAAACACAGGGAAAACATCATGCACATTTTTGTTTTGTTTTAACACTTTCAATGTTGTTATTCTGTTTGTTCTTGGTTATGATCATAGGGATGATTATGATAGACTGTATTATATATGTGAGTATATCCCAGTACTGTGTATGATGCAAAAAGGTCTTCAGATTCTTGGGGATTGGAATAGAGGGATACATGCTTCTCATCTAGCTCATTATTGCTATGGTATCAATGATATTGTCAAGCTATGATTAGTGGTCTCCAACATGTGTGTCAAATACAGGCTGAGTCTATAGAATTTCTGATCCATGAAAAGTAGGCACTTTTGGAGCATTCAGTGGACTTGAATACCTTTCCTTGGAATGTGTCATTTGAAAATATTAATTTATGTTGAAAATAAACACATTGAGGAATAAGTGCATTTTCCCTACTTATATGGACTGTTTCATTTCCAAAGCATCCTTCTAATTTTCCATACTGTGTCTCTTGTTTGTTTTAGAAGCCACTTCCAGGAGTAACACTAGGATTGCCTAGAGCTGTAACTATAACAATTTTATCAAATGACAATGCCTTTGGAATTATTTCTTTTGATATGGTATGTTTTCATATTTATACCTTTATTATTTGAAATTAGAATGATAGGGAGATTTCTTACAGAAACAGCTTAGCAGCCAATGGGAAACTGGGAATCTTACCAGGCATCTGTGATACAATTGTTGATAGTCTAAGCTGGAAGTTCAACTTGCTGTAGGTAAGCTATTGTTTTTCAGCTTATTCATCCCATCCTATCTCATCATATGCATTTGAAGAAATCTTCCCCTTCTGATTAAAGGCTTTAGATATTTCTAATTTGATCAGTACCAACAAAAAATATTTGAATGCCCTTGGTATGAATGCAAGTTTTTTAGGCTGTTTGCATAGATAGGAAAAAAGAAATATGCCATCAAAAAGAACACAAAAATTTCGTATGCTGATTTACATATACAAATGCAAACTTAGAGGTAATTATTGTCATTTAATGTAACTTACTATCTTTTAATACACTACAGTATACATATAATGTATACAATATGCATATAATGTAGTTTTATACTGAGCAAGATTGTGAAGGGGTGCTCTGGTTCCATGCCTGCTTGGTCCAAATGCAAACTGTTGATGGGTAATTTCAGGGCCCCTGGTGTCCATTTTTATAGTTCTTTATCTTTGACCTGAGCTTGACCTGAGCAGTCCTTCAAATAAAGGATGCCTTCAAACAGAAGGCATTTCTCTGGCAGCCCTTCAAACAGGGAACTATTCTCTGTAAAGAAGACACACTGCCATCCTTAGTACTTCTACTGTTTTGTTTAGCAATGATTGTCCTTTAAATATGGGACAATTGATTAGCCATTTTCTCATTGTTCCAATGCAGTATATGTGTGGCCCAAGTTTCTTGGGCTTTTTACGGCCATCTATATTCCACCCAAGCTGAGTCCATGGCAATCTGGCAGTGTAGCTTTTGGCATCCCATCAGAGGACCTGACTTATGCTCCAAGTAAATGAGCTAGCTGATCAAGTTTTATTGACTTTTCAGAAAAGACTAAGAGGATGGAGGTGATCCTGTAATTCATTCATAGGACATTTATAGCCTAACTAGGCTCATGTGATGAACAAAAGAAGAAATGTGCATTGAAGTACTTGAAATAAAAGGTTAAAAATCACTGTTAAGAAGTTCTGTGTGAGCATCCAATCAGTGAAATAATTGTGAGGGTTTCCTTTGTTACCTCAAAGATTTCTTTGCATTTGTTGGGTAGTTTTCAACTGCTATGAAATCTTTTTGAAGATAAATGAGGCTGCCCCACAGCATCAGTGCCCTGTTCTGAGCCTGGAAAGGAAAATAGCAAATGAGTATTCTTGCCCTTTGTCCTTCCTTTCTTCTGGCTTTTCCACTGCCACCAGGTAGAAATCTTGGTTTCTCTGGCTGCAGTCTAGCATTATAGCCCAGGAACAAACCATGGGTCTCTCTCCTGCAACATTCTAGAGCTCTGGGTTTTGACATCATGGAAACTAACCCAGGGAGAGTCCTGTTCATCCTTAGCTGTTCATTCACCAGAAGTGGGTGAACAGTCAGGAGCCATCAAGCTCACTTCAACCTGAATGACCCACAGTAAACTAATTGTGAGTTGTTTCATTGCATAACCAGGGTCAGTATCTGTGGATCTAGGTTGCAAAATTGCCTTAAGCTTCCATAAAGTTTTTCTTAAAGGGGGCTTGCTTGCAAAACTTTCAACTGTCTCCTTAGCAATTTTAACATGATGTGATTTGCAAATGATCTATTTTAACAGATCCAAGAAGCTGTATAATACTGTAATACAAAATGCATTTTTATGTTTTTGAAATATTTATCTGTTGCTTTTCTTACCTTTGATAAGGTTGCTACGAAATGGAATGGGGGCCATCTCACAGACTGCATTAATTTAACTTTGAGAGCTGATATTTCAATAATAACAGCTCCACATGTGTGTGGTCTTGCAATAGTTCATTGGTGCCTGATTGCTTTCTTTCCTTCTTCCACCCTCACCCCATTTTAGCCTTCCTTAATCATACTATCAGAGCCCAGAGGTGGAAATGACTCTGTGCCTCTCACTTTAGTTAGGGAAAAGGGAACCTATGGAACTGTGACTGTGATTTATGAGGTGAGCATGTTCAAATTACTTCACCCTTAAGCATATTATTTCAAATGAAACTACTAACCTAGGGCCTTTGGACTGTAATTATGAATTAACATGGCTGCTCTGGAAGAACTGGTTCCAATTATTCCCCCTAATTTTAATTAGATTACTCTAATCCTTGGATTGTGGACCAAACCTGTAATCAGGCTTCCCATTTAGGTCATGAAGAAGCAGGTGGCAAGCACTCATGTGGTCCCATTAAAGCCAGGGTGTGAGCCCATGAAGCTTTGAGCGAGGCCTGGGGACTACTAAGCTCGAATTAGTTGTTGTGCAATGGGTAACATTCCATTTTGGGGGGTAATGGTCTATTGATCCTATAAGGTCCAAGACTCAATTGAGCCCTTATATTATAAAAGGGGTCTCTTAACTACCAGAAGCTGGTCACTTAAGAAAAACAGCAGGATGGTGTTCTTGCCTGATGCCATGCACAGTAGCACAGCTGTATAGCTTTAGATGGTACATCCTGCCTTCTCCACTATAGGTCCTAGGAGAAGAGACTGGCTTGGGAGATGCATGCATTAATTCAGTGGTCTGATCTGGTCACTCACAGACGTGGAATCTGGGAACCCAGGGAGGCTTTTGGAATACCAAAAGGCATAATGCCAGAATGCTGGGAAATTGGGGTTCTCAATTGCATGCAAAGCCCCCATGGGCAAAAGAGACTTTCCTCTTCAGGTAGTTTCCATTCAGGAGTAGAGCACAGCAGGTGCAGTGATGAACAAGGGCTGTCCTCTTGTGTTGACTTTGACTCCCATTAAGCGTCTGAGAAAAACTTGGAAGCACGGGAATCTACCTTGTGGGCAAGCACACATTCCAACTTTCGTTATTCTGAACAGGTCATCTTCCTTCTTACTTTAATAATAAAGAGATCAAATGTTCTACTTTTAAGAAAACAGCTAGAATTTTCTTGTCTTTCAGTGCATCACTGTGAAGCTTGTGTGGTATGGGAGAAGAGAACCCTATTATTATGTAAATAAATGCTGTCTGAATTCATACCAATTCCATATTTCTTTCTTCTTGAATATCAAAAGTTTGGCTAATCATTTAGAGAGTCTCTTTTTTTCTGGAAGATGTTGCTAATTTTTGAAAGTGTCTTCTACCTGTACTGATAAGACACAATATTTCTTAATAGGTAGAAGGTGGTCCAAATTCTCCTGAAGAAGACTTGAGGCCAGTAAAAGGAAATATCACCTTTCCTCCTGGTACAGCTACATTGGTTTATAACTTATTTGTTCTTGATGACCAGGTGAGAACCCATATCAATAAGGTTTTGATTGGTGTATTAGGGTGTTTAAATAATTAAAGTACTGTTCTATAGGCCTGAGGTCATTGGCACACCTTAGGTAGGTGCATATAATCAGCCTATATGCAGTATTAATATGCTTGGGATAAATCCAACATCATGCTACCATAAAAGTACACAATCTGTGGCCTACTCCATGCAGTTCCTTGGGGTTCCTCAAGGGTACCGCTTAGCTACAAGCACAGCCTCCTAGAGGAATCCATTCAGAAGGTACCACCTGCTATCTGAGTTAACACTGCGGGGGGGTTCCTTTTTTGGCACACACCAGCAGTGGAACACCCGCTTGTTATTTCAGATTGCAGATAGCAATGGGACAAAGAGAGACAACAAGCATTGGCATCCTCAGACTCACCTGCACTCAGGCTCTTGGCCTGTCTCCCAGCATGCAGGTGAATCTCAATGCACATCTCCCCTCATTTATCCAGGAGGAAGGAAGCAGGGTGGATGAAGCCCCCGAATTCCTTTTGCTCTTCTGACAGAAAAGTGAAGAGGGCCCAGCTCCTCACTTCCTCCCCGCATTGGAAAGATGAGGCAGAACTGTTTCATCCTTGTCAGTCCTCCATTAGGGGAGTGATGCAGATGAGGCTGGCTCAGCTTCACTGTACATTCATCTTCCCTAACTGGGAAAGTAGAAAAGTCTGGTCCCTGGCCCAGATTATGGATGAACTGTACACCTGTAACATGGGCCAGAGAGCAGATTATATCAGCTGGATGTGACCCGCACTGTCACCTGTAACTTGGTTTTCTAATTTGTGAAAAAGAATTTAATTTAGAATAAGAATGCTTTGGTTTAGACCAATGCAGTTTGTTCTTTGTATATTCAGGCTATATTTACCATTGGCTGTGAAACTTTCTTTTAAGTATTTTGATTTTTTTTTAAACTACCATCCTCTTCATTCAAGACAATATTGTCAGATTAATCATTATTTTACATTACAAAGTCCATGTAATGGACTGTACATGAATAAAACTGAGAGCTGAGAAGTTGTGAAACACAAAACTTTCAGTGAGTAAATTGAACAGGGAAGTTCACCTATTATGAAAGTAAAGTACCACATGCCAAACAAGGAATAAAATTGCCACAACTACAAAGTTAAGCTGAATGGCCACTCTTGAATGTGATCTCTACAAAGCATTTGAGGGTGGCCAATTAGCAAATGAGAATGAAAGAAGAAATAGGTGAAGAGGAGAGGACTTTGAGCCTTCTTTGAAAACAAAGCTTTGCTTCAAAAGAAGTTATACACTTTCAAGTTGAAGATTTTCCATCAGGCAGTCCCTATAATTAAGAGGCTTTTCCGCAATAGCAGTTCTTGCTTTCTAGTCTCACAGATCAGAGAACAGGTGTTTTGAGTTTATCAAAGCAATTTTACTTTCTGACAAAATTATGAAAAAAATTAATTTCCTGTCAATAGTCTAACTATATGCACCTGAAATAGGAATATAAATGATCCTTAATGCATTTAGAGGAACTAGGGAATATGATCTTTTTTGGTAGTAGAGCTCATGCAGTAGAATTCTGACTGTTGGGAAGCTCATTTCACCCATTGTTTTTCTTTTTGGAAAAATCAGAAGAATATTTAAATGGTGAGTATTTAGGGGTATTTGAATGAGTTTAGTTCTGATCAGAGTAGGAAAGGGTTCATAGATTAATATTGTCTTTTGGTTGCTGCATGAATGTTTTATGCTCTTTTAGGATGGGAAGGGTTTTTACTTTCACAAGCTATCTATTTTACTTATGGAATATGGTTTGCTGGCTTGTTCTTAGGGTCGGTTTGTTTGTTTATTTCAAAACAAATACCTTTGAGGCTTCATTTTCTTCTATTGTACTTCAGGGTTAAACATCACATCTAAATTAGGCACAGGATAATGATGGTTTGATCCCTGATAAAGATGGCTTCAGAGACCAGAATGAGACCTGCAGTCCAATATTGGAATACAAACAGTAGTTCATGACATCTGCTGCCTTATGGCATTCTTTCTGTGGGTTCTTTAGCAGACAGCTTGGGGCTGCTGTTCCGGGGATTTTACCAAGGGCTGTCAGAATGCCTTCATGTTCTTCCCTTTCAAAGTCATGGATGTATACCTAATATTGTATTGCATTGATGTTTTATTTTTCCAACTGTTTTAATAGGTAGTAATATGTTGTTACTTGTAAGCCACCTAGGAAGGCCTTTGGCAGTTATAGGCGGCATATAAATAGCGTGGTTTACTTTATATCCAGTTTGCTGCTGGTTCTTGTCCATCTCTTATCCGCACCATGTCCCATTCACTCTATGCTAAAGGCAGAAAATAAGGAGACCCTCAAGATTTCTAAACTCCTTTATCAAATTAGCTAATAAAACAAATTCAATTTAACTATCTAATTAAATCACATTATATATTCAGTAGGTGTCTTTGAGTATGAAATTGTTCATATTGCACACACTAATGTTTCTCTAAAATATCTCTAAACCTGGGGAAAAGTTTTTTCTGTCAATTCTGTGAAAAGTGCTTCTACGCCATTCCTTTAAACATATTAGAACATAATAGATAAACAAGTGGGTAGTATCTTATGCAGCACTAGCAAATAGCTCAAGCTACCTCCAGTGCAGTGACAATGGCATTTGCCGGCATGATTGGTATGCTTGATATGTGTCCCATATGTCTCACCCTTAACATATGTGTGCTTCATCAATTGTTAAAGGAATAATTATATTGTGGTAGGATAACTATGCATATATTTATATAATGATATGCTTGCTTTTGCTTTGATGAATAATTTGCTGATCTGTATACATTTACCTTTGAGCTGAGAAATCATTATTGGTTGATATTAATTTCCTAGGTACCAGAAGATGATGAAATATTTATTATTCATTTAAGAAGTGTAGAAGGGGGAGCTGAAATCAATGCATCAAGAAATTCTGTTGAAATTATTATTAAGAAAAATGATAGCCCGGTGAGATTCACTCAAAGTCTTTATATGGTACATGAAGAGGATGATATACTAACAATCCCAATTCTCCGGGGTAAAGATGATGATGGAAACATAATTGGACCAGATGAATATGAAGTCTCAATCTGCTATATCATTGTAACTAGAAATTCAACAGCACATGCACAGCTGAATTTGGACTTTCTGGATCTACAGCCAAATACAACTGTTATTTTTCCACCTCTGGTTCATGAATCTTATATTAAATTCAAAATCCTTGATGATGCCATACCAGAAATTGCTGAGACATTTCATATCATGCTACTTAAGGATACATTGCAAGGAGATGCTGTTTTAATAAACCCATCTATTGTTCAAGTTACCATTAAACCCAATGATAAACCTCATGGAGTGCTATCTATCAACAGTATCTTGTTCACTCAGTCAGTTGTTATTGATGAAGATCAAATGCTAAGGTACTCTTACTTATCACATTGCATTGATAATGTCAAAGTAAATTTGCTGTTGTTGATCAGCTGTTCAGTCGTGTCCAATGATAAGTGATCCTATGGGCCAAATCTCACCACACTTTTTGATCCAGAAAGTAGATTTAAGAGACTGTAATTTTCTTAAGAGAACAAATTTAGATTGAAAAACCTATCATATTCTGTAGGTAACTTTATAGATGCTTTTCTTTTAACTTTAATCTTGACTTTAATGATTTGCAGCTGAGATGTGTCCTTGGTACTTTGAATCAGGACTAGTGCTTTCGTTAGAATTTACAGGGGACTATAACGGAAGCTTTGTGGGAACAAGTCTAGGTGGAATTATGGAGTACCGCCATAATGGTTAAAACTAATGTACAGTAATGTGTACAATTAAGTTTAATGCTACTTATTCTTTAATACCTTGGTTTCATATGCACATATTTACAATAGCTTTAATTCAAAGAAAGTTTGTTTTGCTTAAGTTTCTTTGAAATGAATAGGTCATGTTAGATGTGAAACTTCCAACCAATGCAGCAGTTAATTTTCTCTAGACTGGGGCCTTATATTTTCAGATTACTTTGTAAAATATTCCTTCTGTTTTTGGCTCATAGTTAACTGTACAGTTCTGTACTTGAATCAGTGGCACAGTTCCTGAAAAAAATCTGTTTGGCTTTTATCGGGGCAACATTTCAGGGACTGTTAGAGCTTCTGCCAGCTATTTAAAGCCACTTGCAGCTCCTGAATGTCTGAGATGTTTAAAGAAGTTCTGTGGGAAAGATCCATGCAACCAGTCTATGTTAACATGAATTGGTTGTTTAAATGCAAAGCCAGTTGCACTGTTCAAGGCTAAGTGATCTTGGCAACCATTTTATTTTTCTTCAGGTCAGTTCTATAACTAAGATCATATTGAAGTTTAGTGATTTAGTTGCTGGAACGTTGGTGCAAATGGATGGGAGTGAGAAAGACAGTTGTTTTTGGTGTTCATTCTCAAGGCCACCTGGTTGGACTTCAGGGGCGGAGGAGGAGGAAGAGCAGGAGGGGGTTTCAGAATTGGGCCAGTTCCAGATGTTGAGAAGAGAGAAGCAGAGGTGCTTATTTCAAGGCCTGGCTCCTCAGGTGTGCAGGCAGCCTCTGAAAATAACCAAGATGTACAATTAGTGGGAAGGGGCTTGGAACAGGAGAATTTCTTGGCGATAGATGAGGCGGACATGGCTCTTGACCCTGTGAGGTGACACCAGCAGATGAGGGCTGCCATACAGAGGACTTAGAGGACTTAGAGGACTGCCATACAGAGAGGAGGTGTGCTCTTTTTAAGACGCCTCAAGAGATGTGGCCTATGCTCATAAGGAAAGTTCTTGGAGGTGAATAAGGGATTGGGTTCAACGAACTGCTGTGTGCATTCTCACAGATTCATTCTGGGTGTTTGCACTTCTGGAAGATGCTTTGATCAACAGAGAATGTTTTGCAAGAAAGTCTGTGGCTTTGACTGTGTGAAGGGAAGAACCGTAGCTCATGATGCAAATGATTCTTCCTAAGTTATACACAGATGTTGGATGTGTGTGCGTGTTTCTGTGGCACAGCTAGGCATGCCACATGTCATCATTCTTCATCCAGCAGCAAAACATGTGCATTCAGATATAAGTAAAGACAAATATATATTTTAAGAAGGTTCTTGAAGCAGTTTGTGCATACATTTATTGCACTGGAAACAACTCAGAAGGTAGTGAATGTGTATTCAAACCACATCTATCATTTTGAGTATCTGCCTATCTTTACCATGGCTAAGTGAAACAACACATTTTGGAACACTTATGGATCCACGTACAAAAAAGAGGGAGAGGGGAATATACTAGCACCAATGTAATACTTTTGGGAATAATAATGAGCAAAAGAGTAGAAATCAGATACCATTAAATTTACTGCTACATTTAGTTGATTGTTCCAGATCTTTTTGGATAGTGTAATTTTTGTTGCTGCTCTCTTGAGCATGCAGCATTTCAGTTCTGAACTGGGAAATTAGTGGCATTTAAGTCTTTAGTGAGGATATATTGGAGTACGGTGGCTTTCATTTTTATTTTAGTTTTTAAGTCCAATGAATTGATGTGGTGTTTGTTGTGCTCCTTGGTGCTTTAGGAGGGTGGTAAAGACTTTTCTATTCACTGTGCCTTTGTTTTTATGTCCTGTTGTGGTGATGTATTTCAAACTGATGCAGTTGGCTATTTCATGCCATTGTTTTAATAATTTAATGGGTATTTGTATTTGTGTGTGCGTGTGCACATGCACGTGTTTAAATCTGAAAGCTACCAGGGAAGGGGTGAGCTTTTTGTGAACCAAAAGGCAGGTTAGAATTTTTCTTTGATATATAAATAAGTAAAAATAGTTAGTTCTGGTGGGTGGCGACCCAGAGCTTCCTAGTTCTGCATTGCCACAATTACTGGAATGAGCTATAATTCAGTATTTGACAAATCACCTTTGTTAAAATTGGTTTGCAAACTCTAGGTATGAAGGCATCACTGTTGTAAGGAATGGTGGAACACATGGAAATGTTTCAGTTGCCTGGCTTATAACCCGCAACAGCAGTGATCCTTCACCTGTGACTGAAGACATCACTCCAGACTCAGGAGTGTTGCATTTTTCTCAAGGGCAACTGTTGGCATCCCTTCCTCTGACCATTATTAATGATGATTTTCCTGAAGAAGCAGAACCTTACCTGCTTCAAATTCTGGCTCACACAATACAGGGAGGTGCAGAAGTGAGTGAGCCATCTGAGGTAAGCCTACATTTATACCTCTAGAGAAGTGCAAATATTGAAGGAAGACATTAAAGAGGTTTCTGTTAGAAAGAAGGCAGTTGTAAGTTATCAAGGCCTTACTTAAGAACTGTCATGGGGTAGCTGTGTCATTTAAAGTTTATTTAGTGTGTTATCCTGTGTTTAGACAGAAAAAATGCCCTCCCAGCCTGCCCCCACCAGCTCAACTGGCTTGCATATGCTGGCATTCATAGGCCCTCTTTTGTCTAAACATGTTTAGGTTTGCATCTTTAAGGAACTCAATTCTCTTGTCATCTTTGTCTCACTGTTAGAGACTTTCAGTTTGTTTCCAAAGACCTCTATTCAGCCTAGTGGTACCCTGTGCAAATCTTGTGGGGGGGGGGGGAGAAATTGCCAGCCTTTGTGACTGTAAAGAATATGAATAAATAAGGGCAAGATCCTATGCTGGACAGAAAGATGTCCGACAACTCCTAGCATTCTCCAGGCAGCTATATGCTAGCTGAGGAAGTTACCCTTTTCCCCCTGTCAAAACATGCATGTAATAGTGCCCTAACTAACTACCCACAAGCTCTTTTTAAGTAATAGGTCAATAGTAAAAGAGTTCACTGTCTGTCTATTTATAAATTAAATTTCTATCCTGCTCATTAGTCAGGATTACTCTCTGGGCAGCTACAACTTCTAGGCTATTCTAGTATGAGCAGTTGGCTCAGTGGCTGTATTTGCTGAGTGGAGCATAGAGAAGATTTAAACATTCTTCATCTTTTCCGTAATAACACACTGATAACTAAAACCAAGAATAGTGGCAGCAATATGCAGGATAATATGGCACAGTTTGTGTGCTACCAAGCACCTATGCAGATTGTCCATAATCGTTTGTAGATTGATAATGGAATCCTTTATGCTCCCTAAGGATTGAGTGTAGGGCTATAGGAAATATTCTCCCATTTTGAGTATTTTCCAGGAAAAGACCCCTGGGATACTGTACTACCTGCACTGATTCTTATATTTTCATGAGCCATGCTTAGTAAATTGACATCTTGATTCTAGGTATAAGTTGTCATGTTTGTGCATGTTTCAGTAGGGCACTCTCTACCCACTTTTCACTGATAAGTTTCTTGAGATTTGTGATTGTATCGTAGTTATGTATGTTACGCTGTATAGCTAAATCAGGTTTTGTTATGTGAAAATACCCAGCCAAAAAAGTCATGAAGAAAGAAAAGCTTCACTTTCACATGGGAAGTCACATGGGAAGCCCCAGCCAATCTGGGATTATGCAGTGAATGGGATGATTTTAATCCATTCTACTGCCAGTTCAATTTTTTCTATGTGACAGCAGAACTGTGGACACATTAAACCAAATGGGAGAGATAGCAGGAGAAAGCAATGTGAGTCACCACACAAATCCGCAGATACTGCTGAAAAATCTTCCAAACAGAGAGGAGCTTTTCAACACCACTGAACATATTCAAAAACACTGAATAGTTTGGGCTTCAACTTAGTATAGATCTGCCCCACCTCCTAATATAACATATGAAAATGTTATGCTAAGGTGGGCAGTAATTGTACTTCCCTGTTGCCTGCAAGGGTCAACCTCCTTCCTGAAGAGCCATGCCTCTGAACTTTCTTAAGTGGTTCATCACTCTTTTGAAGGATATCTGTTGGATCTGATTCATTGCTGATTTCCCCTTCCTTCCAGATATGCTAGGTATGGCAAATGTTTGACACAGTAGTATGTGAACCAGTTGTCCACAAGATAAAAAAACACCATGGGATTCAAGAACAGAGTGAGGATAGTGGCAAAATGATCTCCTTAAGGGTATATGCACTTTGCATGAACTTTCTGGAAGTGGTTAACCACTTGTACATTTTCATGGTGAGCTGCTACTATAAGCAACTCAGTTCCATCCTCTCCTATGGCAGTAACAGAACTCTGTCTACACATCCTTGTCTCCCACTTAGTTGCCTTCACATAATAGTGAGCAAGTGGGCCACCACAACTGGGAAGGTTACGTAAAGTGAGCAGTTCTATCATCCTATACCTTGTTGTGAGAGGAATAGAGATCATGTCATTCAGTTAAAACCTCAAACAATGACAAAATAATGCATTGTGGCTTCTAACAGTAATTTGAATGTTTTGTTGATGTCATTCCTGTAGCTTTTGTTCTACATTCAGGACAGTGATGATGTTTACGGTGTAATACAGTTCTACCCTTTGGAGAATCAGAGGATTGAAAGCAGCCCGGATGGACGGTTTTTGTCCCTTAGCTTTGCAAGGCAAAGGGGAAAAGTGGGAGACCTGAGGCTGTCGTATACAATAATGTATATACCTGCTGGGCTTGTGCATCCTGAGAGAGCAAAAGAAGATATTCTAAATGTTTCCGGAAGAAGTATCCTCTATTTACCAGAAGGAAAAACTGATGCCATTGTGAAAATACCAATAAGAAATGATGCATTTCTTCAAAATGGAGCCCATTTCTTAGTACAGGTATATATTATATGGTATAAAATTATCATAGCTTACTTGTGATGCATGGAGATATGGCATAATTATCCAGTTTTTCTTTTGTGTGTGTGTGTGTAAAATAGTGCCAATAATGCCACTATTTGTCACTAAGGTCATCATTTGTATTCTCAGTCTCTGACTATCGCTGGTCCACAGAATTTCCTTCTATTTTCTCCCAGTCCTTCTTCCAACACCTTTAACCCTATGCCTACATATAGCTTGATTAAAGTTATCAGGGCTGAAAATGTTTGGCTTGAAACCCTAGTTAAGGTAAAATCTAGTTACCCTTTATGGCACCCGTTTGCACAATCACGGGTTGGTTAATAAACCATGATTGCTTAACTATGCTGTGTGTGCTGTTTGTACCTAGTCAGATTTGCATAATCACCCTCACTGGGTGTGACATCTGAACCTGATGAGGGTGGTTGATTCAAGTGCTTAACTAACTGCTCAGTTGGGGAACTCTTTTTATTATTGGCTAGAGAAACAGGACCTGGTTTAGATTTAAATATGTTCTTAAGCTATCATAAATGGATTTAAATATGATTATGGAATGTTAAAATATGAGTAGGGGTAGTTTGTCTGATGTTTTTGATGATGTTTTTAGTGTTAGTTTAAAAAAAATAATAATTTATTATAAAAAAAACAAACTGCTCAGTTGGGATACTAACTGGGTAAGGGTGCATGGTTGATGCGGCTAACAAATCACCCAGCAAGCCTAAAACAAGCCTTGTGTTCTCAGCTGGTAATAATATAACCCTTAACTATGGGGCCACTTTAGAATGGGAAGAATTTGTCCAGGTTTCCATGGTCATTGCAGCCCGTTGGCAACCACTTTCAATAGTCGCCCCCCCCCCCCCCCGTTGCTCTCATTAGAACCTGGTAGGGCTTGCTTGAGGGTTAAAGACTCCTCAAATATCCTACAACAGACTATGGGTTAAATAAGCCATAGTGGGCTGTGGAGATTGTGTGAACTGGGCCTTTGTGTATTAGATGGAAAGGGATGGTGAGAAGGAACATATGGTCCCATGGTTTTCTTTTATTATATTAACCACATATAGCATTTGGGAGTGTTACATATGCACTACTGTGAGTTGACAGTAGGGAGGGAGCCATAGTTCAGTGGTTCTAGTTGTGAAACATGTACATAATCAAGAGATGTGGAAGGAATATTGTATTCCTGGAAGAGCAGTCTGAGAATGAGTTTTGTGCAGAGTGAATATGTCACAAGAAAGAAATCAAAATTCAATAAAGCTTGGCTGAAAAAAAATAAAAACCCACAGATTAATAAACTAAACATTCTTCAATTCCATGGGCAATGGGAGAAATGCAGGTAGCTGGAGATGAAACTTTGTCATGTAGAGAAATAGAATATGCGATTACAAAGTCAAAGGATCCAGAAATTCTTTTAAGAACTCAGGCCAAGAAAATGCATAAGGCACCAGCAGGTACAATCTCTGGTGACTTAAAATGACAGTTTGGATAATTTCACACTAAACCTCCATTACATGTCCATTTTCCTCACAAGATTTGCTATGTTTAGGAATGTCTGAATATATCAGTAATGATAGTAGTAATAATTGAGGGTGTATCTGCAGAGATGTTTTGGAAATGTTTGAATGCTCATCTAATGCACTCCCACTCCCAGCCAGTCACATACCCCTGGGTCAGTGGGTTGAACACGCCAGTGGCTGAAGTAGTTTATCTGAGAGTTGAGCCCCTGGGCCCTTAGCAACACCATGAGGAATAGTTGGACTGACTTCTTAGGTGACAGTCTCCTTTTCTTTTTTCATAACAATATTGCACCTTCAAGTGAGCTGGATTACTTGGACAAGTATTTGGTTCTATACCCATGAATCTATTGATAGAGATAAATACTCATGGAAAGGTTAATTCTGACTGAGAAAGATATAGCAAGAGGGGGGAGGGAGGGGGGGAGGGAGGTTCAGAACCTTACTTGTTTTACAAGTTGTGTGAATGGAGGAACCATCTATTCATAGAGCAAAAAGTTGGGATTGGAGCCAATTACTCAAAAGCAGAGAAAGCAGAAGATACAATAGAGCACTGGGTATGCAATCCTGGAAATTAATTTTGCTCATAGCTTTAAAATTCCTTCCTCTCTTCTTTTGCTTAATTTCTTTTCCTCATCTACATATATTCAGTGGAGTTTGCCATAAATTCTTCAATTAGTTTTAACATCATCTGAATGTTAATATACCAACTCTGAAGTGTTCCTTCCCAAAATTATTGAGATTGAATGATGTATTTCTATTCATAACTTTAGCCATTTGCTTACTTATTCTGACACAGAAGTGCACATGTGATCTTATTTTTTCTCCATGTTAAATTGCGTGTTCAAAGGTGACAGGCATATTGTTCTGTTAGTGTTTCTCAGTGTGTTCTCAGCATATCTGAGAAGATGGAAGATAATGTCTTCCTATTTGAACAATTCCTTATGATAATTTCAGAACCAAATGCATTCTAGGTTAGAGATTTGCAGCTCATATGAAAAGAGAATGAAAGCAATACGTATGGGTATGTTCTACAGCCCTGCACGTCATTGTTGCATGTGCGTGGATGCAGAGATCCTTAACCCTTTGATTTATTTTATTGCAGTTGGAAAAAGTGGAACTGGTGAATATTATCCCTCTAGTCATCTCTGTAAGTCCTAGATTAGGTGAAATCCAAAATATCTCCTTAAGAATCACACCTGACATTGCAAATGGGGAAATTGGCTTTATCAGCAGTCTTCCAATAATTCTACATGAGCCTGAAGATTCTGCTTTTACATTAGTAAGTCAATATTTTACTTACTTCTTGAATATTCATTTTGATAAAGTTTGCCTTTGCTTAGCAATGTTTTGTAACACATATTTAATTGACATCTCTCATGTTATCAACATTCTATAATCAATAAAAATAACCTTATTTTTAAGATCATTCCATCCTTTGTTCTTTATGAAGAACCTACCAAGTCAACATTGTCATAGTCAGGCACAATTTTAATTACATCTATCTATCTAATTTTAGTTATTTTAAATATTGGGTCATCTTTTATTTTGTTTTATTTATGTTATTTATGTTATATTTTACATTGTATGCCATCCTGAGGCTTTTTTGCGAATAGGACAGCATATAAATATTTTAAATAAATAAATAAATCTTTTGCTTTTGGTTTCAAAGCTTGCTGGTTTGTGACCCAGCAAACCTGTTGGCAAGCATAAATGCTTAAAAGATACCAGGAACCTTTAGTACTTTTCATATGCACAAAAGGCTTTTATTTGTTTGTAATTTCAGAAATATGTTGACAAAATTTCAGGCTGGCTGTAGTTTGGCAATGAAAGTTGCACATATATTCAAGAAATGAAAACAAACAAGCGAACTCACAAAACTTGGTATCTGTTCTAGAACTCTGTTCCTTTACATCGAGATGGAACTGATGGACAAGCCACAGTGTTCTGGAGCTTGGCACCTTCTGGCCTTAATCCAAAAGCAGTGACTGTTGGTGATATAAGCCCTTTCTCTGGCTCCGTTGTTTTTTTATCTGGACAAAGCGACACAACAATCAACATCACTGTTCAAGCGGATGACATCCCTGAAATGAATGAGACTCTAATATTGTCTTTAGACAGGTATAGTTCTCTATAACAACTTCTTGAAAGCAAACTAATGCAGCCATCACAAATAGCAGCCAACAGCTATTTAGGCTGAAATCCTTACCTGGGACTAAACCCCATTGAACACAGTGATAGTTATTTCTGAGTAAATATGCATAAGGCCTACAACTTCCATCTATGCTGCTTGCAGCATGCCGGGAATTGTCGGCCTTTCTTTCCCTCTAACCTTGCATAGGATTGCATCCTAGAGGTTCATAAATGCTGTATGTCCCCAGGACATTCTATATTGTAGAACAGAACTAGAGATCAATTACTCGATATTGTCAATTAGTTGTCCACTGAAATTGTTTCTGTATTTACTTTGTAGATAATACTGGTTTGAAGACTCAATTGTGCTAAATTTCAATTTCAGTTTCATGTAATGATTTTCTATGACAATCTAGCCAGTATAATGCCACATCATTCAGAATAAATAGCACATGTAAAAGGCTGATTTCCACAAGAAAGTTATCACTGTGTGACCTGTCAGGAAAAAGGGAATCTGAATTTCAGTGTCTTTGCTGTTACATCCTTTGGGATTTTATAACTTGGTTCCACAAAAAACATTCCTGATACCTTTTCTAGCAGATGTTGTACTTTTTGCTTTGTCAAATCGTATCTCATACTTGGTTAACATCTTACACTGTGTATGAACACTAAAGTGGCAATGGATCTAATTTAATTTTAAAAAGTCAAACCTATCTATCTTACATTTTTCTTCAATATTATTAACCAGTTCTATATCACACGTCACTGTAATTTAGCTTTGCAATAACTCTGGTACTTGGCTGAAAGCAGACACTGTATCTGCAAAAGAGTGAGTGTCTTCCAAGATAACAGGAAACCCTGAAGGAATGGGGCACTTGTAGGGAAAAACAGCAACAGGTGCAAGGGAAGGTTGAACCCACCCCCAACCTGTCAGTTGTCTACTGTGAATTCTCCTTCATGCCATTTTTCCTTCCCACTACCCCATCGCCAAGCTAATTTCAGTTCTTTTTTCAGAACTGAAAAAATGTGGGGGAAAGGATTTCAAACAGCTGGGAGGAATCTGCAGGGGAATATCGGTGTGGGAGAATTACAAAACACTACTTCCTAGTTGCTAATTTCTTCTGCAACTCTTACAAAGGAAACATGGGATTGGAGTTTTAGTTTTCCTTATAATATATAGTACCACTCTGAGGCTAGTCCAAACAATGGTGAATTACCCACAGCCATTCACTCAGACCTGAATGAATGGCTGGGACTAGTGGGAGTTTTAGCTTAACATCTGGAGGGTGCATTAATGGTAGGGCAAGCTCTTTACCGTGCTTTTAACTCCCAGTTAGCTTTGGGCAATTTCATTTGTGCAACAACTTTAATATTAAACTTTGCTATTCGCCTTTGTTCTGCCCATTCTAAAACTGGGAACCCCTGAAGAAGGGATTGTGCCATTTTTGCAGGCAGCACTTAGCACACTGTTAATGCTAAACAGACACTTTGATGTTAGTACTTTTGAAACACAGGTTCTCAGACTTCCCCCTGTCACCTGCCAGGTTATCCCATTAGGTGCAATATTTTCTGTGCTGGCACAGAAAATCTGGGCCTAGAATTTCTGCTGCAGCATTCTCTTCTATCTCAGTGGAAAGATTTTCCAGGAGAAGCTGTCCATAGCACATGTTCTTGCAGATCCAGTAAGCTATTCTTATTGAACTGTAAACTTGTAGACTGCAATTTACAAAGAAGCATGGTAACTGGCATCACTGGAAACAATAGGGCTAGTATCAGAGATGCTACTTCTTTTCCAGTTTCATCTTCTAACCAGTAGTTGTGCTTCGACTCAAAGCATTTGTTTAGAGCCAAAGCAATGTTGTGCTTAGAAAAATGCTTTCCTTTTCTTACACCATTCTTACCATTTGATTTACCAAAAAAGCAGTCACAAATAACACTTCATGCTGTTTTAATTCCTGTTTAAATGAGGGCTTTCAAAGCTGTCCCCATTACAAAATTTAGACAATGGCCTCCCATGCCCTTCTTTATCTGCTCAGACAATCATTTGGGCAGCTTAGGGGAATGACAGGTCCCAGAGGCTTGTACATCTGTGAATAAATGCACTTCCTTTGTCTAATTAAAAGCACTGAGGAAGTACAAATGGACTTGAATAAAATTTACTCAGCTGTTGTGGCCTCTACGCTTGCCGAGTGCTTGGCAGTTGGCAGCTAGCTCTTGGAGCAGTGCTGGTAACGAAGGCCTTGAATAGTTCCTTGACATCCCAATTGGTCATGGGGTCATCTCCCACGAGTGGGAATTGCTGAACCTCTTGCTAGCATTAGTCAAACAAGTAAGTGCCAAGCAAGTGGAATTCCCACAAAGTGAACATTAGCGTCTGGAAAGGTGCTGGGTTTTTATTCCTCTTTTCATGCTGCTCCCCCTAGCCCTGATTCTGAAGAACCCTCTCACAAAGAATCTGGCAAACCGTGGTTTTATTCCTATCCCCCATTTCTTTCTCTCTGTATTGACAGGGTAGAGACAGAAAGGTTTGTCGTGTACTTTGGGTAAGTGCAGCAAGCTGTGTCTTTGTCTTCACTGAATCAGTACTTTGTTTTGGAAGTGGTTGGTCTGGACAAGACCCTGTCTCCTTTAATATTTCTTTCCTTCTGAAGCACCATGCCTCTGGGACCTCCTCAGGCAATGCATGCTTCCTACTGCCCTTTCATCTGAGAGCATGGCTTGGCAGACTGAAAATGGTTTCTTTATGTGGGGCCTATGAATAATAATAAAAAGTTATGAATGCATGGCTCGGGGTTCAATGTTTGAGCATGGTTCAGAACAGTAGATCAGTTGTTCTGATTTTACCAAGGGAAAAGCTGGTCTCCCAAAGATCTTATAATGGAGTAATAGAATCAGAGTTAGACAAAAGCACTGAATTCTTCAGATATTCTTGAAAAGGTGGTTGGTTTTCACTGATAACTTACAGGAGATTCTTGTGCATGTTTACTCTGAAGTAAGCCCTGATATGTTCAACAAGACTTTCTGTTAAGTGAGTATAGGGTCCTAGCCCTCATTAAATCACCACACGCATCGGTGCTGCAGCACCTGCATGTATTAGTAAGATACATCATTGATGATTTTAAAACAATTCATAGTATATCCCTAAGAACATAGTGTTCCAGTTTTTATACACTTGAGCATAGAATCAGGGGTCTGAAGCATTACTTAACAATTCCTGAGCCTCACTTCAACCGCATGCTGAATTTTGTTAAAATTTAAATTTCACTGAAGCTCTTGAAATTAAAGCAACTTCAGTGAAGCAAGTGTAAAGGCTTCTTGAGAGCAGTAGAAGTCCTTGAACTTATCTCTGCTTGCCAGACAGGTCTATGGAACAGGAAATAATCTGCTTTGGGCTATGAAGGGACAAATAGATTCGCAGTTTGCATGCAATGGTAACCCAAGTTCTTTTGCTTGTTTATTTTAAACCCTGGGTTACTATGAATGAGTCAGCATGCTAGTTCATGTGGCTCAGTCTCTCATGCTTGGCAGTTGTCAGCTGGAGTGGCTGGACAAGTTAGGAACACTCTATCCATAGTTTAGTTAGCATTATGTCTGAACCCAGAATTCTGGTCTGTCTCTTTCCTGACAAGCCAAGAACAAATGCTGAGTTCCAACTCTTACCTTGCTGGGACAGAGACAAGCTGGAGCTCTGGGTTTGGACATAGGTCTAACAAAGCCACCCATACCCTCCATCACTGGCTTATTTGGGCATTCCCACTGACATTCCACTGGGGACTCAAGTGGAAGCAATCAAACTGCATACTGATTTCATTCACAATAAGCCAGGTTTTAACAGTGACAACAACCGGGTTTCTACCGTATGTGAACCTAGTCATAATCTCCAGCAAAGCTAGGAAAACCACCACCACTGCCACCACCAAGTGAATTAGCAGATCTTTTCTATCAAACATGGTTGGGAATTTTGTTAAATGGTATGAGAATGCCATACATTTTTCACTCTTGTGTTCCCCATTTCATCTGAGCTATTAAAATTATAACACTTTTTATTATCTTTCTCAGTGTGGTGTGTGTGTGTTAATCTGTTTGATCTGTTTTGAAAACAAGAGTTCATTTATTCACTTACATTATTTGTATGCTGCTTTACAATATAAACACATGAATACAAGACATAATATGCAATCAGATGAATGCAGTAAAACAACCAAACCACATAGCAGTATTGTCATACTATGTAACATTTCTCTCTTCAAATGAATAGCATTTTTGTAGCCTTAATAAGATAAGAAACTTTTTGTCCATTTTGAAAGAAATCCAGTGATGAAGCCTAGCATACCTCCTATGAAAGAAGCATTGCAGAATAATACTAGTAAAAGTGATGGGAAAGTCCAAGTATACCAGTCTTCCCCAATCTGAAGCTCCTTAGACTACACATCCCAGCTTTCCTGACCGTTGGCCATGTGGGATGGGACTGATGGCAGTTGAAGGCTCACCTAGAGGGCACCAAGTTTGAGAAAGCTGCTTTATGAAAAGGCTTTGGTGCCTTTAATTACAAAGTCACTTGCAGATTAAACATGACTTTTGTTCGCTTTCCTTAGTGTGAATGTGGAAAATCAAATCCTGAAATCTGGATATACAATCCGGGAACTGATCATTCTGGAAAATGATGATCCTGGGGGAGTGTTTGAATTTTCCTCATCTTCCAGAGGTCCCTTCAGGGTAAAAGTAAGTGCCCAGATAAATATCTTCCTTAGCAGAGCCACACAGTACGAGACAATTGAGCTTTTGAATTTTGTTTCATTTTAAAGGAAGGTGAATCTGTTGAACTCCAGATTGTCCGATCCCGGGGAACTCTCATTAAGCAGTTTCTACATTATACTGTAGAGCCAAGAGATAGCAACGAGTTCTATGGAAATACAGGAATCCTGGAGTTTAAACCTGGAGAAAGAGAAATTAAAATTACTTTGCTAACAAGGATGGATGGGATTCCAGAGGTAAAGAGAGAGAGAATGAAAAAGTTCTCAGGCATAACTTAATAAAAGGTGTATTTTTGATGCTGGTTTTTTAATCAGATATGGATTATCTCTACTAGTTAGACAATATAACTAACTTATATTGTTAGTTACAGCACATGGGACTGTGTTGTAGAAATTGTGCTGCAGTGGGGTGTCGGGGGAGAAAGACTGACCTATTAGTCAGTCCAGATGAGAAGAATTGATGTGAGCCGCCCCGAGGCTTCGGCGAATGGGGTGGCATAAAAATGTTTTAATAAAATAAATAAATAAATAAATAAATAAATTTGGCAATAAAATTTCTGCCTTGACCCATCATAAAAAGTTCTGTGTAATATAGCATACAAATGTATTAATCTTTCAATGAGTTAAGATGTAGAATACTAATAAGCTGAAATACTATAGATTGTTCTGTCTAATTTTAAAAATATCAGAATACCGTGTTTTCTAAATTGAGTAGTAGAAGTACATGGCTACTGATTCTGATTTTGCGTTGCTTTAGATTTATATATTATATATATATTATATATTTAGATTAATATGAGCACTGCCAGTCCTGTCCATATTGTTCTGATCTAGTTTCCCTGTTCTAGTTGGATGAATTTTACTCAGTGGTACTCAGTAGCCATGGCGAACTACCAAGTAAGCTGGGAAATGCCACAAGAGTCAACATAACCATTCTGAAGAATGATGATCCACATGGAATAATTGAGTTTGTTGAGGATGGACTGACAGTAACAATAAATGAAAGTAAAGGGGGGGACCTCTCTGCTGGTAATTCCTTATTGTTCTGTTGTTACTTTAATATACTGTTTCTTAGTCAATTGAAGGATGTTGTCTCTCAGGTCTCCTTCCTACCACAGGAACCATTGCAGCCTAGTTCCTTGCCATTCTGTGAAGGTAAAACTGGAATTCCAGATAACACAGGTAGATCCCACGCTATGGGCAGTATGTGGTAGTGCTGCTGTGTCCATTTTCGTTCACTTGCATCTACAGGACACACTACTAGTACAACAGGAATTAGCACTTTTTGAAAATAAGCATAAATAACCATTTTTGGAAAAGTGCAGATCGGTGGCGCCTCCATATTTGGCCCTGAGTTCTGCAGATCTGTCCCATTTCTGCTAATTTCTGGAACCACTGGTTGCCTTTTGTACAAGTGGCACTTCTTACTAGTATGCAGGTAATTCCGGATACTGCCCTATGGCTTCTCCACATGCCAGTGATGGTCCAATTTTCTAGATGGCTGATGCAGTTGTGACAAAACACCAGAGTATACTGGTCTGGCACCATAGCCCAGTATTTCTGATGCATTACCTTCAGGGCATGGGAAGAACTGATACTACAACCAGTCCCGTATCACAGTTGTCATCTAAAGAAAAAAATCATGCTATGTATTGAGCCTGCAATAAATAGCATGCCCTTAGATGTACTTCTGTAAATGCACATCTTTGTTTTTATCAAAGATCTTTCCTTTAGCATTTAGCTACCACACCAAGGTATTCTGAGATGTCAGAGCAGCTCAACCCATGGTAGCAATAGAAGATTACTTTCAAGTCATCACTTCATGTGAAAGATTTACCTGAATCATCTTTTTCCTCATCATGTGGTAACAAAGTAATGGATGGGGAAATATACAAAAATCATCCTGTGGCTGATTAGGATCATCAGTAATTTCCAGTGAAGTTTTTTTTTTTTTGGTGGGGGGAATTAAAATGCAGTTTCCATATGCAGTTTCAATAATATAATTTCTTCACAGAATGGTTTTCAAATGCCTGTTTTTGTTTATATGGTGTTTTCATAGTTGAAGCTTCATTTTTTAAACAGGTTTTTGTTTTGCTTTGCTTTGTTTTGGTTTTAGTTTTCTCTAAGCTGCTTTGGCATTAACTCTGTAACACTGTATATTTATGTTTGTGTTTCAAAGCGGTATTCAAAATTATAAGGAATCAAGGAACGTTTGGCAATGTGACTGTATCCTGGGCATCTTACCCAGTATCTGCAAAAGACATCTTCCCAGCAGAAGGGACAATTTTGTTTGGAAATGAGGAATTTTCAAAAAACATCACTATTTATTCAGTGCCTGATGAGGTAAAATGTGCGTGTGTGTGTGTGGGGGGGGGTAGGTTTGTAACATAAAGAAAGGTGTTGGATTGTAGAAGGGCTAGCATGTACAGATACAGGAAGTTTTTGAATTCAGTTTTGAAAGGAAAGAAAGTGAAAGGAAAGGTCTAAATATTGTTTGTTTATTAGTACTTTTATCCAATTCTTCAGCCAAAAGAGCTCTCAGAATGGCTAACAAATTAAGAAATAAGACTTACCGTCTAAAAGCCATGGTGCGCACACACAACAGTGAGGGAGGAGGGAAAAAGCAAATGCCTGCGCTAGACGTTTATTTGCAGCATTCACTCTATGATGGAGTTGGATCCAAATTTAGCAGGCTGGCTGCCACTTCCTTTGCCTCTGAAGTCCCCGGCACCGGCGGTTGACTGAAGGAGGCAGGCGAGGGCTCCCTGCTGGAGCTGTGTCCAGGCATGATGGAGTGTTCCCGCTGGCTGCATGCTCTATAAATCTACTAGAACATTTCCTTTTGTCTCATAGGCTAAAGAATTTGGAATTGAACATTAATAGTGATCAGCGGATATGCCAGGGGTCTGCCTTTGCTCTTAATCTTCCTTTCACTCAGTCAGTTTGGAACATGCTGGCATTCCAGAGGAGGAGGAGAATGAGTATAGTGATGGCATCAACTCATTCATTCATGAACAATTGAATTGTTTAATAACCATTCAATTACAGAATCAGGTATCAATGAGAGAGATACCCATGAAGAAGGCTTCACCTACAACATTTATAGTTCCTTACTCACTTCAAACAGCATGCTGTTCAGCATTGTCAGTTCCTAGACTCCTGCAAACAGATGCCCTTCAGATGTGCTGGACTACAGCTCCCACCATCCTCAGCAGGCATAGGAAATGGTCAAGCTCCCTGAGGATGATGTACAGCAGCCCTATATGACTATGATGTATAGAACTGGATTCAGATTTAGTCATGTTTAGAATAAACCCACTGAAGTAAATGGGATTTAATTTCACCTTTATTTCAATGGGCCTTAGCTGTCAGATGGAAAAGAATCAAGAATTCATAGAATCTAAGCAGGTGTGCCTAGCACCAACATTTTATTCATTTAGCTGCCAGGCCAAACCTTTTAATTTATCCAGTATTTCAATGGTTAGAATGATTTTTACTGTATATTTTATATATTGTAGGTTGTTTTAGTCAAGTGCTATTATAGCTTTTTGTTCCTTTGTAAGCCACTCAGAGACCCTGAGTGGATATAAGATGGGATAAAAATGTTTTAAATAAGCAAATAAATAGTATCAGGTAACATACTCATAGAAAAAAGAACTTGAATCCTGGAATAAGTTACTAGAATGTATTCTTGGTAAACTGAGCATGAGTTAGATTGGCTTGTTTATGGCTCAAAGACCATTACAAAAATACAGTACTATGTAAATTATACCAATGCAAAGCAGAAAGTACTTATAAAAGCAAGCCAAACAGTAACACTTTTACAAATAAATTATTCAGATCTCATTTTCCATCCACTGTAGACATCTTGTGATAGATTTTCTGTGTTGCTGCAGTGAAGGTCGTTTTATTTGCGATGAAATTACCAGAGTTGGCCAACAAGTCATACATAATGTCTGTTGGAGACCATCCAGCTGTTATTTTCAAAAGATCCTCTAGAAAGCAAGTTTCCTTATATAGTGAACAATATAAGAATGAACTACATCTTCTACTTTCCTGGTGCCATGAATACATAACCACAGTGCATAGGGGACCTCTTTGCACCTTCTGTCCAAAGGTAGTGAGGGAATAATTTGAAAACAAAGGGCAGTCAAATCCTGAGGATACTGTTGAAAGTACTGTCCTCTCCTAAAACTGCTGACCCATGGGGAAAATGCTTGAAGTTGAATGACACATATGCTTTTATGACAATTTACCTCAAAATTTCTGTTCATGCATATGGACTGAGCCTTTCCAAAATCAGAATGGTGACAATGATAACCAATAAAGGGAACCACCTGCCTTTGGCTGTCTAATCCTACATGTGTTTGGACATAAAAAGAGTCCTGTAGTTCCCAACATTCCATGGAAAGTAGGATGTGCCAACCAGGCGTCATTTGCATATGTGTAAAAAGGAAAACCATGATCAAATATCCGTGCATGCTTGCTTAGCATAGCTAAGCCAGTTGAGCTAATAGGCAAAGGTAAATATATATACACCCATGTAAAGAGAAGTAGAAGATGCTCAATAAAGCAGCTCTGCTTTCATAACTGTTCACTGCCTTTGTACGGATGCTCTGTAGTCTTGAGAAGCTCAGCTTTCTTTTTATAAATACATGATCCTCCTCCAAGTCAGGGTTGTTGAGCTTCAGTTCCCATCATTCCTGACTACTGGCCAAGCTAGCTAGTGCTGATGGGAGTTTGGGTTCAGCAACATCTGGAGGACCACACTGTCTCCACCACTGCTTTACAGGGAAATGACCAAAGCAGGTGTATTCCTACCAGTGCTTTTTTTGTAAAAAAAAAAAAAAAGTGCCGGAACTCACATCGCCAGCAGTAAGTGCGCGACCACACACACAGCCGAGCATCCCAAGCTGAGAGCAGCGCCCTCACTATCTCACTATCAGATAGCAGACACAAAAGCAGCCTGCAGGCACTATGTTAATGATGTTTGCTGCTGATCTGCTATGATTCAAAATCACTTCGTAAAATCCATTGGAAAAAAAAGGTGCCGGAACGCCGTTCCGGTGCGTTCGATGACAAAAAAAAGCCCTGATTCCTATCAAAAGGACCACATTTCAGCGCTTGTAAATCCCACTGGACAGTATCATATAGTTCCCCTATAGAATGAACTACTAGCACAACAGGAGTGGCAGTTCCTCAAAAAACACAAATGTGTGGCAATGCTTATTTCTGGAATGGGGCAAGTCAGGAGAACCCAGGAAAGGGAACTCTGCTGACCTGTCTCATTCTGAAACTGAACACTGTAGCTCGTTCCTGTCCTTATTTTAGAAACCGCTAGTTCCTGTCTTGCTGTCTTGCTAGCAATCTATTTCACTAGTGCAATAGAAATAGTGGAGGTGCAATGTCACTATAGAATGCTGCCCCACTGATTTAAATGGGAGAGTATCAAATGCATACCCACTGTGACTAAATATTTTTATGTTGCAAAGACTCCAAAATGAATGATAACTTTCATTGTTCTACAAGCCATTATCATTTGTTTTCACGTCTTCATTTTTTTAGAATTGTGAACCATAATTAGTAAGCTATGGCTTTTGACATTTCTGTGTTAATTTCATACTGTTTAGGTAACAACAACAACAATAAATCATTAACCCTTTTCCCCCCCAGATTCCTGAAGAAATGGAAGTATTTATCATTAGTCTTTTCAATATGACAGGGGGTGCTCGAATGGGAAATATAACCACTGCAATCTTGCAGATTACCAAGAATGATGATCCAATTTATTTTGCAGGTAAGAGATTTTGTCATTTGCTTTCAGATATTTCCTGTTAAGAAGCAGATCATGTTCTCTAAAACCAGATAAATATTAATGATGGAGATGCTTGGCTTTATCACACTAGCCACATCCACACATCAGGGAAAACTATGCCATGAGGTTTCTGCAGTGCTTGGATTTTGGGTTGAATTTACTGGTCAGATGATCTCTTAGTTACCTGGGCAGTGTGGTTTCTGCACTTTCTGCTGTGTCCTCCCAGACTCTCCATGCATCCTGACAACCCCTGTGAGCAAAATCCCCAACCTTTCCCTATGCTTGCCTATGGAATACAGTAGCCTCTTCCTGATTGGTCCACTGTAATCCTGTGGCAGGTTCCCTTCTTCCTCCTCCCAAGTGAACCTGCATGTTTGCATCAATTACCAGATGCTTCAGCCACTATAGAGATTTTTATTAAATGAAAATAAACAGTTTCCTATGATTCCCACCTTCTTCCTCTGTGCATTTTTACACTGCCTCCATTTCCAGAAGTAAACAGGGAGACAGACATATTGCTCAGCCAGTGGGAACAAAGTGATCAATTCTGTGTTTATTGCAAAGGAGCTGAGGGCAATGGAGATCAAAAATTAGAAGTTGCTACTTCCACAGCCACTCTTGCCAGGGGACAATCTAGTGGTTCCGTACCAACAATGGTAAAATGGCAATTCCACATCTGAATGATCAGACTATGAAGCATGGAAACCTCAGAGTAGACTGTTAATTCTTTCTGTGGATTCAGAAAGCTAATCCTACCATACAGGAACTCAGCTGGGTTCAGACAACATAGCTGATGCACAACAATAAGCTTGTACCATGTCATACAAACTGGCCCACTGTGTGATCTCTTATGCTCTCATTAGATATTAGTTGATTTCCAATGTCATCTCAAACTATGGTTTGCAAAGCTAATCACTGGTTTGTAAAGGACCCAACAAACCACAGTTAGAATCCAGTTTACAAACCACAGTTTGCACTAAGTACGGTTTACTGTTATGTCTGAATTAGCAAACTGATGACTGATCATGTTAATGACCATTGTTACATCTCAATCAGAACTGGAAGCAAGAGTGAATTCATGAAGCTGAGTGTTATGAGATGGAAAAAGAAAGCAGGCAAGCGGTCTAAATGGATTCTTCTCTCTGGTTAGCACAAACCATAGTTTGGTGTGATGAGTCATTGTAGTTTGTACTGTGATTCTAAGCTATTTTTTAAACAGTTACTGAAGAGCAGGGTCACAAGAACAGGAACAACATTTTTTCAGACAATTTGTCGGTGTCTTAAACCCCTATCTCTTTTGTAAGATAGAAACATGGACAAGTTCAGTAGTTTAGATCATGCGTTTCCTATTTTATAGATTTTCCTTCTCTCCATTAGAGCAAGCACCTGCACATGAAGATTAAAATGCTGGTGCCTTATTTGTACCTTTCAGATCCAGTCGTTGTGAAGGTTCATGAAGGCGGCGTTGCTAATTTTGTAGTCCTAAGGAATGGCTCTGATGCAGATGTCATTTCAGTTTCCTATGCCACTGTTAATGGGGCTGCCAGTGCCGAAGGAGGAGACTTCATTTCTAGCAAGAAGAATGAAGTGCTTGTGTTTGATGTTGGAATAAGAGAACAGAATATAACTGTGTTTATCAATGATGATGACACCCCTGAGTCAGATGAGACTTTTTACATCATTCTTTTCAACTCTACAGGTTCAAATGTTTATTTGATCTATGAAAACTAAGCCGTTCTTGCTTTTCTGATGTTTTGCTCACACATCATGATTGGTAGTTGGAGTGTTGCTGCTGCTGCTTCACATCAAAGCATCTTCTTATGCCCTTGTGAAATATATAGTATGTCTGCATCTGTGTATTAGTGGCTGGCTGTGATATTGCTTGCTTAGAAACAAACAAACAAACAGGGAAGAAAACTCTACACAGCTGATTTGTTTTCTGACTTTTAAAGAAAGCCACTTCAGCTATCCTTCCTTGTGTCAGGTGTTGAAACAAAGAAATGCAGCATACATGATTTATTATCCCACTATTTCAAGTATCTGGGACAAAAAGGGAGCAGCAGGTAGATGCGAGAAGTTCTGGGGGATTAAAAATAATATTTGACATGGCAGTCTGTCATTGTGTAGTGCATTATATTATTGGGCATTGTTATTGTTGTATGCTATGCTTCATGGCAGCAATGCAGTGATACTTTTACAGGCAGTATCCAGTGCAACCTGAGGGTGCACGTAAATTCCACTGTGCTAGCTCACAATGAAAAGCAGTGTGGTGCCAGCAGGAATCGTGGAGACTTTTCTTGGTGCCAAGGTGCCCTCTCTCTCAAAGGGCATTTTTTCATATGCCTGGAGCAAGAAGAAGAGAAGGATTTATTGATTAAAATGTTTATATACCATCCACAATTAGCCAAAAGGCTCTTGGAATGGTTTACAATAAAAGCTAAAAAGAACCCAACATAATAGCAAAACACTGTAATGAAAATAAATATGATATAGTTCATAAGACACCAATCCATATCAAAATCCAATTAAAGAGAAGAAACAAACTGGTGGGGGAGAAAGCACCACCTCTTCTGTCATTGCAAAGGGGGAGGAAACCATCTTTCTGAACCAGTCTTTAACTATTCAGAATCTTGTGTTTGGAAATACACTAGGATATCGGTGTAAGAAATGTTATTCTGCTGCCAATGCACACTTTCCAGTATGCTTCTATTCACTTTTTAGCTTTATATTTAAACAAAAAAAATGTTTCTTAGGAGACACAGTTGTCTATGGATCTGGGATGGCAACAGTAATAATTGAAGCTAATGATGACCCAAACGGCATTTTCTCATTGGAACCTACAGACAGAACAGTTGAAGAAGGCAAGACTAATAATATTATGTAAGTAGCATTTAAACATAACTTTTCTTTCCATTAAATATCTGAGATCAAAATTTCCTGAAATCTTCCTTCCCATGGTAGTGTTTTTAATAATGGGGAGTGTTTCATAAATTACTTTCATATTAGAAGAGTTGATATTAACTGCAGACTTTGAGAATAACTTGAATATGTGGAGTTACTGCTAGAATCTTAGCAAATATGGGTTTTCTTGGCAATGCACAAACACACACGCAGAGTTCCCTTCCAATTTATCCTTTAGACACAAGATCATCCTTAAGGCTTGTGTTCTTTACTTTAAAGACTGGGGAACTATTTTGATATACCTCTGAGACATGGGTGAGGGCGAGTGCATACAAGAACATGCACTTCTTTGTAGCAAAATATAAGATGGTAATAGATGGGGAAGGTTATTTATGAAAGTAATGAAGCAATCGTAAGGGCATCCAGGGAGCACTCTGAAAATCCAGTGCTCTGCTGGCAAATGCCTAGCAGAACAGGAGGAGCCATAAAGGTGATCTTCACCTCTCCATCATCCTTTCTGCTGATATTTTAGTAGACATACTTTTGAGTGTGCATAGTGGAGTTATGGGGATGGGATGGAAGATGAGAAACTTTAGGATCCTGAAAATCCTTGGTTCCTCCCCCCCCCCCACCCCAGTTGCATTTTCACTCAAGTTTGGAGCTTCAGCTTTGGAATAGGGGACTACCATGGTGCTTTCTGCAGTGACTGCAAGGAATGGGAGGGGTGGCAGACTAGGTGAGGAAATCAAGAATTTGCTCTCTTGAGGATATGGAATTCTCTGTAGACTCAAAGCAATAATCCTGGGATACTCTCCCAGGGACCAGAAGGTTTCTCTCAAAGTGTTCTCAGCAGAGTAGAGATGGAGAATGCCTTTGCAAAATGAAAAGCTGATTTGACTTTGAAGCAAAAATGAAACTCCTACCCTGTTGTTGACTGGCTCAGTAGATTCTGTTCTGTTCCAAAAACATAACATTATATATATATGGCAACTATGAAATGAACCTGCAACAATACAGTATGATAATAAAAGGAAATGAAGGGAAAATCAAGCCACTAACTAAAGGGTGCCCATTAGAATATCTGTCTAATCATGTTGAGAGGAAATACCTGCCAGGTTGGAGCTTTGGAAATTTACCCCAGACAGTTCTTTTGCTAAAGGAAGCTTTTGATGTTTGTTTTCTTCTTTGAATATTTGTGCTAATCTCATGTGTTAAAAATTCTAAATTTGGCTTGAAAAAACTTTCTACAGGCTGTAGATATGAAGTCTATTATTGGTGTTCATTCATGGAGATATCCAGGATCAGCAGGGCTTAAAAAGTTAGTGTTGCCTGGCTGATGACTCTCCTTATGCTGCCAGTTAACTCGGCAGGAGGTGTATAATCTATTGACAGTTACTATCAAGTGGGTTGGCTGGCCAAAAGGATAAGTTAGCAAAACTCCATTAATGGCACTGATCAAAAAAGCTACAAAGAGAATTGTACATTCTCTCTCTCTCTGTCTCTCTCTCTCTCTTTCTCGATGTTTATGGGTTGGTATTTAACATGCTATTGTTCTGTGTCCCTCTACCCACGTATTCTATTTAGAATGTGATTGGAGCTCTTTGAATGGCATGGCCAACTCAAGAGGTCTTCATTGGATTTGTATAATCATCATCTTGGAAGTTTCAGAATTTAACATTCAGTGAATTGTCTCCACAAAGGAAGGCCCAGCCTGGAATTTAGAACAGGGATTTAGAACAGGGACAGGACCTTTTGGACGTCTTTCATTCATAGAATCTCCATAAGTTGGAGATGACTTTTCAGTGCATAACAACAACATTCAATGAGAATATTATCCTTTGTTATACACAATGAGTTACTAAGAGACTCAGCAGGCGACATTGTAAATGTCCTAATCTAAGGCAGAATACCATACAGCAAAATCATTCCTCAAACCTCATTATATCAGGGTTAGGGTTAGGGAAAAGCATCTATCAAATTAATGATCTTTCTAATTGTGTGATACTTTCTTGCCTACACCAGAAAGTGAATCCCCTCCTCCATTTCCCTCCAGATGAAGCTGGCTCCACAGTGAGGGAGGTTTGTGCTGCCTCTGGGTCATGCAGCATGAATACCAGATGTTGTTTAATTGGTCTTCTTGTTTGACTTCATGGCAAACCACCAGGCCAATAATGTCACAGACCTCCGCCTCTGGCCCTCTGACCCTCCCTATTCTGTAGTGACTTCCCCAAACCAGAGTCAGTCTGGCTTTCACCAGCCCCTGGGTTATATCTCCCTTTGTTAACCCTGGCACTTGCTAAGCATTACAACTTCACCTCTTTTCCTAGCTCAGATTCAGAGTCTAAAATCTCCACCCTGGAATGCTGTACTTTGGGAGAAGTGGGTCTACTGTAGCACTGTAAAAGGCAAAAGGAGCAGTTCCAAAATCCCAGCCTATTCTCCGTCCAAATCTTTACTCTTAGCAATTCTGTTTCAGCAGAAGCATTTCAGCCTTCTTGCTGCTGCTCCCCCATCTGGCATGGGGGAAACAAATGGCACCAAACCAACTCCTGGAGGGAAGGATGTGAGGCCAAGGGAGGAGACAGAGCACATGGGGTGGGTGGCAGAGGGTTGGATTTGGCCCCTGAGCCTGAGGTTCTGCATCCCTGGCCAGGGCTGCATACACCAAGCAGTCCCCCAGGCGGACATGAGTGGGGAAGTCCTTGCTTGTGTAGGAGAGTCCCCTCTGCTCCCACAGATGAGAAAGCCCCTTGGGGATAAACACAGTAGCTGTGGAGCAGCTCCCGCTAGCCTGCCGTTTGTTGTTGTCTGCCTTAATAAATTGAATAGAGGTTTAATCCTCTTCATAATAAAGGGGATTTGTGATGTAACGTGACCTGTCCAATCCATCCCAGCTAATGTTGGCTGTTTGAGTCTATCTTGTTGTGTTGCCAGTGACAGGGCCAGCTAGCCTGCCTGGCTCTCAGCTAGCCTTGGCACAGGCGCAGCAAAGTACAGACCAGTCCCCTGTAAGAAGCCAGTAGCATCCCTTCCCCCTTCTGCCTTGGTGTGTGATTGTTGTGCTCAGGTGCTTTGTTTGGGCAGACCCATTCCCATGAATAAGGATTCCTCTGTGCTGTGTCCTAATGGGGCATGCAAATGCCAGGTTTATGCTCAGGCGTCTGATGTGTGACTGCTCCCCATAGGAGAAGCACCACCTGGGCAACGGCAGGTGTTTGGATGCTGTATGGTAGCTTGTGTTGGCCCCAGTCGTGATGTGAGCTGAGAGCTTAGTTTGGCAACATGATGTTGTGCAATGAACATGCTTTTTTGCAGGTACATGTCTCTGTATCTCTAACCTTTATATGGCAGTCTTGTATCAGGGTTCCTGATAAGGGATAGCAAGGCATGTTCAGCTAGTTCTGGATCCATCGCAACATTTATGATAGAGTGATGCACGGGCATCTTGGACTCGAGGAAACTAGCAAAAAATCCTCTCCTGGATGAGCACCCTGCCTCCTGGGCATCTCTAAAGTAGCTCTTTGGATTCTAGCCAGAGTTAGGATGCTGCTTTATCAAATTATCTCTAAATGCAAGGCCACTGTTGCCAGTAACAGGCAAAAAACAAAACAAAACTCCAATCCTGGGACCTATAGAACTGGGTTGAAAATGCAAACAAATTTCAGGATGTCCTTTGCTTCTTCCCTAAGAAGGTATTTAGAGGGATTTTGTGCAGGATTGTAAATTTAAAAATTTTTTAAACTATGCCTCTTCTCCTTCTCATTGCTCTTGCTGCTTCTTGTCCAAGGATAAAATTGCCCTTGTTGTATCTACTCTACAGGGTTCTGAGACACAGAGGCTACTTCGGTAACGTCTCTTTGACATGGCAACTGTTTGAAAACAATTCTGCCTTAAACCCAGGAGAGGAATTCTATGAAGTCTCGGGGCTCGTATGGTTCTTAGATGGTGAATGGTTGCAACCCATAACTCTTCATGCGATTCCTGATAAAATTCCTGAATTCAATGAACTTTACGTGCTTAGGCTGGTGAATGCTTCAGGTAGAGTGGAGTCCCTGTGTCCAAATCTGAAGGTGCTGCACAGAAAACCAATGGAAAAGTAGCCAGGGATGGAAAATTAACATCTGTTTTCCTAGGGCAAAAGATTACTCCCCAAAAGGAGTAGTTCTCAGACTTTTCTAATTACTCAAGTGCATATTCATATCAGATTATTGCATATGCTGTACAAGGAGTACAGAGGCTTAATATTCATGTTTAAAAATAGTAATCTGTCATTTTCTACAGCTTGTAACATAGCAATATTTAAATAATGTGCTAATTTCAGAAACATATACTGCTGTCTCAAAGAACGCTCTGGCCACTTGTTTTTCTTTAATACATTGTATAATACTGTACACTTTTAGTTTACTTGAAGTGGCCGCATATAAAACTTCCTGCCCCACCAAACCAACTAGAGCCAGCTAATTGCATCAGAATTCTTTTCTGTGTTGTATCACTTGTGCTGCAGGTGTGTTTATGTTATGGGGACTGAGGGAGACAGGTTGTCATGTTTGATTGTTCAGTGGAAAATAGCATGCCAGAAAGAAGAAATTAGTTTAGGTGTCAGGTTGAGCAAAGCAGTGCATCTCCCTCTAGTGGTCTAATAGAGAAGGCAGTCTGGTTTTTGTTGCAAGTACTTGCAGAATTAGCACTGAACCTGTAGGTACTTGCAGGATTAGGGCAAGTGCAATAATGCAGACCCCCTGGAAGTCACAGGAAGTGCTATAAAAGGCAATTCAGTGGTGCTCAGTTTTATAAGGATCACATGAGTGTAGTTGTTGCTTTATGTGCCTGAGTTGCCTGCTTTCTCAAATCCTGCAGTATCTTCATTCATGTCTTGATTCTCACATGACTTGACATTGCCTTAGCTCTGGTCATGCCTTGCTAGAATCTGAGCCTTGCTTGTTTCTGACTCAGACTTTGCCTCTGGCTTTGCTACATCTCTCCAAGCCTTAGTTCCCCTTCCATTTCTATTGTCCTGGACCTGGCAGATCAGTCAAGGATGCCTGCTGCTTATATCCTGGAGCTGACATCAGCTTTTTGCCATGCTATTTTTGTGTGCTGCTTTTTGTGATGGAGACATTCACACCTGCAGCACAATGTGGTTCATACATGCTAACTCAAAAGAAGCCCCATAACTCAGTGGTAGACCACATACATCACATACAATCCCCATCTCCAAGAAGGGCTGGGAAAACCTCCTTCACAGAAAGCCACCACCAGTCAGTGTTAACAGCATCCAGCAAACTGGATTAAATATAAGGCAGTTTACAAGGCAGGCCAGTGTGGCCGCCTGTAACTGACTGAAGTGGAGGATTAAGGGCATCCTAATGATAATCGAAGGAGTGCAGAGGCAAAGGTCATTTCTTCAATCAAGCAATCGGTATAGATGGGCCATTTTGACATCTAAATGCACAGTCATATGCATTTTCAGACAATAAAAGGCCTACAACTTCCTGCATGCCCCTGTTTATCAAAACATGCACAGGATTACACCTTAAGTTGTTTGTCCTTGCTTGTGAGGAGGACAAGCTGAGGTGCAACCAGGATACATTGCATCCTGTTGTAGCTTCATTCTTTCCCTCCCCCATCCTCCAATGCTGAGGTCAATCTTCTCATAATGGCTGCCAGAGCAAAGGAAGGGCACTCCGGACTGGAAGTCCCAGTTGCAACCTCAGAGCGCATTGCTGAGGTCAGTACTGGCTCTCCAAAATTTCCTATGGCTGCCTGAACTCTGTCTAGCAGCCCTAGGGCTGTACTATTAGTCAGTTCCATTTCCAGAAGTTGTATCCTTCGAACCTACTAATTCCGTGAACTGGTTTTATTCATTGCCACAGTCATTTTGAGTGCAGCGCTTGTAACACATTTGGCTGAGAATGAGTCTGGTGCAGTGGATAAAGTGGTTGCTGAGGACTGAAGGTACCTGAGTTCAAAACCCCACCTAGCCATGAGGTTCATTGGGTGACCATGGGCTGCCTGTCAGTCTTGCTTATCCCCAGGGTTAGCTGTGATGGGGAAAATGGTGGTGGTGGGGGAACAGAATTGGTCAAGTTTTAATAGTAGTGATGCTGATCATAGAGTGGTAGAGTAAATTCTATATGAAGTTTGCTGAATGTTTTTTTTTGTTTTTGTTTTTAAAATTTCAGGTGGGTCCCCAGGTCCAGGTGGCCAGTTAGCTCAAACGAACCTTTCAGTGACTGTGGTGATCCCATTTAATGATGACCCCTTTGGAGTCTTCATCCTAGATCCTGAAAGCCAGGAAAGGGAGATAGCTGAAGATGTTCTGTCAGAAGATGATATGTCCTACATTACCAACTTTACGGTCTGGAGGCAGCAGGGAACATTTGGAGATGTCCGAATTGGCTGGGAAATACTATCCAGCACATTCAAAGAAGGGTTGCCTCCAATGACTGATTACTTATTGCTCGGCAGGTTCTCCAAGTCAGTGCAGCTGCAGCCTCACATGCGGCGTCATCACACTGGAACAGATGCTTTGTATTTTAGTGGTGAAGAGGATGCTTATGGGATAATCGTGCCTGAGGTCCCTGTCTTTAAGAACAAATCTCTTGACAGCTTCACATTTTCTGCATGGGTAATTCCTAGTGCCAATTGCAATGGATTTATAATGGCAAAAGACAATAGCAAAGGAACATTGTACTACGGAGTGAAAGTCCACACCAATGAATCTCATGTTTCTGCACAGCTTTACTACACACCATTGCAGTCTAATGGGACATTTGTGGCTAAGATAACAGTCATGAAATACTTAGAGGAGAATATTTGGCTTCATCTGCTGATTACACTGGATGATGGAATAATTGAATTTTTCATTGATGGAAATCCTGTGCCTGGAAGCCTCAGAAGCCTCAAAGGTGAAGCGATTGCCAACGGTAAGCAACATGCCTTAATGACCTTTAGCTTTTCTGTTCTCTCTGAAATTTGACAGGCCCACATTCCATTCAGGAATGGAAGCAGATCCCAAATATTAGAACAGTATACAAAATTTTCCTGATGTCAGATAGAATATGGATAACTGCATAAATGAACAAGTTTTTTTTGTAGTTGCACAGGGCAATGTCAGGATATTTCTGACACTTTCTATACAATGACTTCTTTTTGTTTCTTAGAAACGAATGGCAAAGCAATATTGTACTATCAACAGGGAAACGATCCCAATATTACAGCTTCAACAGCTCTGCACTGTATCAGTGAATTGTTTTAATGTAACATAATGGCTTCAAGTCTTGGGAAACAGTCTGCCATTTTTTGAATGTAAAAGGTAAAGCTAAAGGTTTCCCCTTGACGTGAAGTCCAGTCATGCCTGACTCTAGGGGGTGGTACTCATCTCCGTTTCCTAGCTGCGTTTGTCCGCAGATAGTCTCCGTGGTCATGTGGCTGGCATGACTAAACACCAAAGTGCATGGAACGCTGTTACCTGCCCACCAAAGTGGTACCTTTTTATCTACTTGCATTTGCATGCTTTCGAACTGCAAGGTTGGCAGGAGCCAGGATGGAGCAACGGGAACTCACCCCGATGTGCAGATTCGAACCGGTGACCTTTCGATCAACCAGCCCAGCAGCACAGCAGTTTAAACCACTGCACCAATGTATCATCTCGTTTATTTGTACTTCTCAAAGAACTGCTGCAGAAACAAACTGAATCACAACTCCGAAGTGGCCTGAACAGTGATCTGTTGACTGCTTCTTTTTTAAATAATAGTGAGCCAGTTTTCACATCATGGTGAGCCTCTTGCGTATGCAGTGTGCTCATACTGGCTACCTGATCCCTCCCACCACTAGCAAGAATGGCTAAACACCCCACAGGCCTTCTGGCTGCAGCTTGTTAAGTGTGGTGTATGAACCTGGATATCCGGCATGTCTTTCTCCCAACAAGGCAGAGAAATAACAGATGATTTGTGTGTGTGTTATTTCTCTGGCTTGTCAGGGGAGAAGTAAACCCAAGGTGTGGGTTCGCATGTCAAACTAAGGAAACCATGCACAAAACAGAAATTGAAAGTTTCCATTTTGCTTCTGAACAGACCACGGTTTCTGTTATTTCCAAACCTGGATAATTCTGGCTTGTTCAAACTGTGGTTAGATAAAATGAACCAGGTTCAAAACATTATTTCCCAAAGTCTGAACCAAAACAGTCCATTTTTACTATGTTTTCACTGTGCACTGCTACTTTAATACTGAAGAACAGCATCAAGATGACACTCCCTTTTGTGCTGCTGTTAAGACTGAACTGGTTGATGTCTTTGCTAAGCAATAGAAACAGTACATTAAACTGTTTGTATTTTTCATGGTGAGATACAACAAAAACAATTCTGTTCTAACACATTAAGAGAGCCAGTGTGTTGTGGTGCTCAGAGAGCTGGACAGGGGACCTGGAGACCTGGGTTCTAGCTCCCCTTGGCTATGAAGCTTACCAGTCCAGTCACTTACTCTCATCTAGCCTACCTCACAGGGTTGTTGTTGCGAAGATAAAATGTAAGCTACCTTGGGTTCCTTGCAAGAGGAAAGAAAGCAGGCTATAAATGCAATGGAAGAAGAACAATTGCATCCTGTTAATAATAGGACATTTAAAAAAAATTACCACTTGTAGGGTGCATGTGTATATGGGGGGGCTGCAGGGACTGGAGCTAACACAGATATGCCCCAGGGAGACATGGGAACTGTTTCTGACTCAGAGGGGGAGCAGGAAGTGGAAGGAAGGCATTGTCAGGGCACCGAGGACATGGAAGCAGGAGAATGGGTGAAAGTAGTGGAGGCAGAGGAGAATGCCCATCTGTCATCTAATCTCTGGAAGGAAAGCCAAGGTAGGTCCTCTGAGTGCATGGGGATGCTGGCTCGCAATGAAAACGTCAAGAGGCTGTGGCTACAAGACCCAAGAGCAGGCATCATAGGAAAAGAGAGAGGCCATGAAGGGCCCTGGGTTGCCTGAAAAGACTTACAGCCAGGCAGACGACCCTGTGGAAAGACCTACCTTGAGGTCTTGATGGCCTGCTCAGCTTGAAGAAGTGGTGCCAGCTTCACAACAACTCTCTCCCCTGATTCTCTAAAGCAGGGAACTAACTGAAGCTTATGAGGTATGGTGAGATTCAAAGCTTGTCTGGAATTGTTGTTTTTTGGCTGCAAGAGGATAGTGTCTAGAAACTGAGGCAATGCTTGCTTGTGCATCATATAAAAAGGTGACTGTCTGGAAATGTGACTTGATAACTTGACTGCAAAGAGAGCCAGGGCTCTGCACAAGGTTGAGGAAGCAATTTCTCTGTGTGTGTGTGTGTGTGTGTGTGTGTGCAGAGGGGATGCATTTCATTTAAAAAAATGTTCAGGTGTTAAAAGGATTACATGAATGTTTCTTTTGTAGGACCGGGAATAATAAGAATTGGTGCTGGTGTGAATGGCAGCAGCCGGTTCACAGGCTTGATGCAAGACGTGAGACTTTATGAACGTAAATTGATGAAGGAAGAGATCAATGAACTTCATGCCACTCCAGCAAGAGCTGATTTGCACCCGATCTCTGGGTACTTGGAATATCGAGAGGGAGAAACCAATAAGTCATTCATTGTTTCTGCCAGAGATGACAAAGAAGAGGAAGGAGAGGAGCTGTTCATCCTTAAGCTCATCTCTGTTCATGGGGGAGCACGGATTTCAAAGGGAAATGCAACCGCGATGTTAAGAATCCAGAAGAGTGATAATGCCAACGGCCTATTTGGTTTCACAGGAGCATGCATTCCAGAGGTAGGGAATGCAACACAAAGTCATCAGTACGAGCCCACCTGAACCATGAGCTCATTAGGCAGCACTGGTTTTTCTTCCACTGCAGCCCACCACAGGCATCACGGGACTCTGTTCATTACAGGGTTGTCTAAGCATGATGGAGGCTGCATGCATGAAAGGCTCTGAATGCTCGGAGTCATCATCCTCATCTAAGGCTACAGGTGAAGAGAAGCAGAGGAGGCATAGTTTCCAACTAGTGCCGTCTTAACTTCGCCTGTTATGCCAACAGCATGGTTCCCATGGTGGCAGGAACTCCACATGGCTGCTACAATGCACAGACGTGCTCAGCACGTTGATTTGTCCTGCTGCCCAAAAGGTTCTCATGCAAGAAGATCTGGGGCCTCAGGACCAGGCCAACAGGAGTAAAAAGCATATGCTAATTTACATAGGCTCTAAAATCTCTGTGTGTCTTCTTGTCAAGGGGGCTGTCTCCTAAGTCCCTGCTGTTGTTAAAAGGGATGTGCTGGAAGAGCAAGGAGGGCATTTCATTTCAGAAGCCCCTCAGGCACATGTCAGAAGAACCAGATTTTCCTTGAGGCTTTTGTACAAAGGAGATGCTCAGGGCTCCTCCACCTCTATCTTAACAAGTGCACATGCCCAGTAGGGTGTTGGGCTAGATGACCTCCTAGACCTCTTCTGAGCACTGCTTCTGGTCCCCAGGTGATGCATTCAGGGGCACGGCCCTCAAAGGACCAGTCTCCAGTACATGCCAGACTATTTTACCCTTCTGCAAATAGTGCAACGTCTCTATTCAGTTGAATGGGAATCAGTGGGCAGGGAGATGCCCTGTTAAAAATGGTTGGGTGGGGGGCTGAAGTTCATTTTCTACCCAAGACCTTTGAGGCAATGGGATGTTTGGCTGGAGCTGGGCTTCGGTTCCTCTCCTGTCCTTTCTTTTCAGCGGGCTGGCTTCCCCCTTCCATATTCAAGTGAATGACAGAATTAATCCATTCACTTGGATGGTGAGGGGAAAGCCACTCTTTCAACTTTCCACATCTGCTGACAGGGCCACAGTGGGGGGAGCCATGAAAGGCCATGCAGTGTGTTGTTGCTGATAGTCACAAAGAGAGCTCTGTTAAGAAGCCAGAGACTAGTTCCTATTCAGTATCCTGAACAGTTTCCATCCCAGCAGGTTAGTATAAGAACCAATACAGCTTAGGCACCAGTTCTCAATCTCCTTTCTCCTCCTCCTCCTCCATCTTTCCTTTTATGACATCTTTTATGTTTGAAGGCAGAGGCAGTTTTTTAAAATTAATTTATGTAAGCTGCTCAGAGGAGTGGCGTAAAATGCTTTGAAAATAAATTCAAAACATCTTTTAAAAGGCTTTTCTTCCTAAGCACAAGTCAATGTTGATTGATATATTTGAAGAAGTTGGTATTATTTTGAACATGATTGGTATAAAGTTCTGCTACATTTTCACTCAAACTTCAAGACAAGTATTTTTCAGTTTCATTAAAATCTTGTTGGCTTACAGGTGGCTGAAGAAGGTTCTACCACGTCTTGTGTAGTGGAACGCACCAGGGGAGCTCTGGACCACGTTTCTGTGTATTATAGTATCTCTCAGGTTGATTCTAACAGCATTAATTACTCTGTTCGTGATTTTGCTAACACTAGTGGAAAGATCTCATTTCTTCCTTTTCAGAGATCAGAGGTAAATCCTATATTCTTGTTAAAATCAATGAGAAATGATGGAAAAGTTGTATGCTTTACTGACTCTTGTGTTTAGAGTTGTTCTGTGAAATTCCTTTGAGTTTTCCCATGGAAAATTGTTTCCACTATGGGAGGTGCAATTCTCCCTCCCACCGGAGCCCTTGCTTATCCTCAAAATCTTCTCTAGAACTTTGTGGAACCCTCCAGAGTTAGAATTGGAGAAGGGCTTGCAAGGGGAAGGAGAAAGCAAAAAAGTCCCATTGTACAAGCACTGCCACACTCATGAAATGTTATTCCTGTCTGTAACCTAAAAAGATACAAATGCTAGTTCAGAGCTATCATTATTAATAAACAACCTATCCATTTCCACTGAAGGCAGACTGGAAGTCAGGCTAGAAGCATTGCAGCATCTTTCCAACTCACAATCAGAAAATCAGAAACCCTGCGCAGGGCTTTCAATGTCTGAGCATTGCCCTTTGTGTACTGAAATGTCTTCAAAGCCTTTAAACTTAACGAGCCCGACACATGCCTGCTGCTGGGACCCAGAATCCTTCATGGAGGTGTTTCTGTGAGTGCCACTGGCACATGAGGTGTAGTGGGTGGCTATGAATTAAAGGACTTTTTCTGTGGCCACACACCAGCGGTGGAACATCCTCCCCAGAGAACTCTACCTTGCATAAATGTGATGTCCTTTCACTGTCAGGCAAAGACCCTCTTAGTTGAATTCTGTTGCATTCTTTTAACTCTGTCCTTTGGTTTGCTAATGTTCACTCCTTGCTTTCCATTTCTTGGACAGTTCCTGATTTTCTGTAATGTTTCCATGCTACAGTTCATCTCATATTTTATTGTTTTGTTACTTTATTTAAAATTTATTCTGTGTTGCCACAGAGAACTTTTTGTTAATGAGGTGGCATATAAATAATGTAAACAGATGAGAATAATTGTCAGTAGACCAGAAAAGCTTACATGAGCTTTGTGACCCATTAAAAATTATTCTAGACATTGAATTTTAATTGCCTGAAATAAGTCTTTTTGTCCTCAAAACTGATTGCAAAAATAAGTTTTCAGGCTGGAATAGAAGCAGCAGTAATTACTAAATAGCTATTACTGAGAAGAATGGACTTGCCTTTCTTTAATGCATTCATTTTCATTTAATTGCTTTTCTTTCCAGGTTTTGAATTTGTTTGTGCTTGATGATGATATTCCTGAGCTGAATGAATATTTCCAGGTGACTTTGGTGTCTGCTGTTGCTAAAGATGGAAAAATAGGTTCAACCCCAACTAGTGGAGCAAGTTTAGATCCAGAGAAAGAAACTACCTACATCACTGTCAAAGCCAGTGACCACCCGTATGGTAATGGATAATAGTCTGCTTAATTTCAGTGTATGAGGACATCCATATGACTCATCCTTTTTGCTAGGAATAACTGTTATTTTCTTCAGAAGCATCATGAGCAAAATACTCCAGGTTGTACACAGGTGGTTTCCCTCTACCAGTGAGAGGCTCCTGGATCCAGGGCAGGCTTCCACCAGCAGGCTGGGAGAGCAGTGGCTTTTGGTGATAGCCCTTCCCGCTCTACCTCTTGCACTGTTCTGAAGGATCCTTCAACCCTCTAGAGAACCTTGGGGTGGGGGTGTCCACATTGCTACAGGGGAGAGGGAATCACACAAAATGCTCTGCATTCCTGTTCAGCTGAGGGAAGCTTCTGCTGCATCAAACAGCCTTCCATGAGAGAAAGGACAGGAGCTAGATACAACCCAATACTGTGTTTGTCTAGCTGCTGTAAACAATCAGTTGGAGGTTGTATTTGTTGGAAGGTAGGGTCATAATCTAGGCAATTACAGTGCATTCCTATGCCAGTCTGCTCAGGAGTTGGTCCAGTAGAGCTCACAGAGCTCCAGCGTAGGAGCAGACTTATTCCTATGTTACAGGCACTCCCTACTGGGATAAAGGGAATACATCTTTCAAGACGTGGCAATGCATCATTTAAAATGTAATATGTACTCTTCTTGAATGGTTATTTCTTATATACATGTGTATGTGGTTTTAATAATATAATTTAGACAATTAAAGCCCTAGATGGCAGCTGAGGGGTCTTGAGGGGCTGAGGTTTTGCCCCGTGTGGAGGCAATAGCCAGAGCTGCAACTTCAGAAGAGAAAATCTGAGCAGGTGTGTCTGCCACCAAGCCCTTTCCAGCCACTACGGACAGTGCTGTGATACCTCCCTTTTCCAAGGTCCACATTTCGGCCTTGAGGAGGAAGAGAAGGATTGATGGATGAGGGCTTGCCAGTGGGTTGGGAAAGGCCAGCTGTGGATCCATTTAATTCAGTGATCTCTCAGTCCCCACCATGCTTCCAGCAATGCCAGTTAGCCAGCCTGGCTTGGAGACTTCTCAAGCAAAACATCCCGTGAAGGGCCGAAAGGTTCCAAAGCCTCTGTTGCTTCTCTCACCCTGCTGGCAAGAGCCAAGCAGGGCACAGAATGTTTTCCCATAGGATCGCACCACAAACCACTTTTTTAAAAACCGGGTGATAGTCTTAGTGGGAAGATCAGCTCTGCTTCAGCTCCTGTTTCTCCAGCTTTTCTCTTCTAAAGCTACTACATTCCTTAAATTAAAAGTATACAGGCAACAGCACCAAGTATCAAAGTCATTGTTGCTGCATGAAGAATAATTTCTGGAAAACATGATACATTCTTACTGATTGAAGACCATGTTAACTGGAAATTGTCTTCAGTTGGCAAAGTCATATAACTAAGATCATTGTTCCTTTACCAAATCCCAGCAGACTGGAAACCAGAGCCCTCCCCAGACATTACACAAATATTAATGCATTAAACTTACCTGTAGAGCTGAAGTTTATTTTTATGTGGAAATAACTTGTCACTGAAGGTGACACAATTTGTGCCTTGACCCTCCCAGGTTTGCTGCAGTTTTCCGTGGGGCAGGCACCCTCTGACAGTGATGAGATCATTCTGCCAGCCCTCACAGCACCCCATGTTACCGTCCAGGAGGAGATAGGACATGTTCGGTTGCTTGTTGTTCGAGCACAAGGGCTGCTGGGAATGGTTCTGGCACAGTACAGAACAGTGCCATTAACCGCATTCAGTCCCCAAGATTACCAGGTATGTGGATAGCCGACTGGAAGAAGTGGGTGGCACGAATTAGCTTTACAGTTATATCTGGTTGTTGTGTTTACACCTGCCTTCTGTTCTTTGCAAACACACACACACCACCCTGTACAGTGCTGTTGATCCAGGCGTGATCACAAGGACCTATGCTTTATGCAGGCTAAAAGACAGGCCTCGAATGCCATTTTTTAAGATGCGACGGAGCCTGCAGTGAATTCAAGATTCGTATAAGCACGGTTCACTCACACTTGCTGTGCATCATGGATGCCAGGTACTACCATTCCCATGGAGCAGTTTCCTTGACCGCTCTGCAGATCCAAACCTGGCATCCTCTTGATGTGTTGGACTGCAGCTCACAGGATCCTGCATCAGCAGAAGCTGACTGGGGGTGCTAGGAGTTCAACAGATCATCAGCTCACCAGCTGCTCCTGTGCATCTGAGGCCTGTATTCAAGCCTGTGCCCATACCTTGTACTTGGTGTGTGAAGGACACCTACCCTCACTTGGTACAGTCAGCAAATTGTGCAGGCACAATTCAGTCACAATTGCTTCAACTGGAGCTGAATGGGAGCTGGTACTACTTTGCAGTCCAGCAAGTGACATCTTCTCTCAAATGTGCCAGGATAAAACCTTCTTGCCTTCGCTGATAAAAGCAGGGAGGACTTGTGTATAATTTCTTGGTGTACACGATGTGGCTTATTTCTGATTGATTCTATTGCTTTTGCTGATACAATGACAAGTTTTGAACAAAACTATAAGTAGCCCTTTTTGCTGCAGGATATTACAGGCACCTTGGAATTTCTGCCAGGAGAAAGATACAAGTACATTATCGTTAACATTACAGATAATTCTATCCCTGAGCTGGAAAAGGCTTTTAAAGTGGAGTTGCAGAATCCAGATGGAACAGGTAAAGGTTCATAGATGTGCTTCTCTCTACAAGTACACAGTATTAGTTGGGAGCTTGATATTTTATTATACCTACACCATTATGGGAAACTTGATCTTCTAAAGCTGAAATTGCATTTTTACCTGGAAAGAGAGCATTAGCTCTCTAATGTTCTTTTGCAGATGTTCACTGAGTGTCTTCATTATTGCTAAACTCAGCCATGCTCTAAATAAAGTGGGTATTGTTAGGTAGCCTGAGATTGTTCAAAAGACAAACTTTTTGCTACATTTGCCTTTGCTTGGTTCATGGCATGGCAAACGGTTATAATCTAGCAGGGAGGCTGGTGCTGTGTAGTTTGGTGGGATCCTCACCCATTGCAGCTTCTAGTTTGAGTTTTGTACCCTGGAGCACTACTGGTAGCTTCTGCAAAGCTCAAAATCAAAGTTGCAAGGAGCCCCACTGTCATAGCAAATGGCAAACCAGTCAGCAGCTGGTTCACCCTTGCCAGTTACAGGAAATGAAATACACATTTTGCTATTTCATACTGCTGTTTTGCTTGATTGTGTGTGTGTACACCTTCATTCACTCACACTCACACTCACACTCACACACACACACACACACACACACACACACACAGATTCATAGAAAGAGAGAGGGAGAGGGAGAGAGAGAGAGAGGAAGTACTAATATAAATCTGAATAGTTCATCTCAATTAAATATTTTTAAAAGACAGAGATGATCAAATTACCCCAATACCAAGTCAAATTTGCTGCAGTTGCCATGTTCATATCAGCATCATTCAGGAAGTGAAGCTGCCTTTCTGCATAGAGGTTCTGCGTAGCTCTGTTGCTGTATTCACAAAGGATCAAGGAGCATCATCTACTCCTTCCCCAGGAATTCTTGAGTTACTGCTTCATGAGAATGGTTTGGAATTCATTTCTACTGGTGCCATTTCATTCGAATTTACCATGCATCACCTAAAAGGATTCTGAAACCCAAACCAAACCATAATATACATTTTCCTTAAATTAAGAAGCAGAGAAGCCACCTTTTAAATGCACTTCAATCATTCCATCACCCCTGTTGTATTCGTTTTAGCAGCATTTGCAGTGCACAAACAATCTATTGAGCCTGCAGCAGTCTTTTTCATTCAGAGGTCTGTCTTATCAAAATTCTATGCTCTTCCAACATGCACCCTTGAGCATTTGTCACTGATACCTAATGACAGCACACACTTTCATAGCCACAGCTTAAGAGCTTCAAACACCAGCAAGGGTCCCCTGCATCCCTAGCCTTTATCAGTGTTCTATAACCTTTCAAAGGCATGTCTTGTTTTTCACGAATAGCTTCTTTGCTTGCTTTTTGTCCAGGGGTGTTTATAGTGCTTTCTGTCTCCTTCGTTATATATGTGTGTATATGTGTATTGTGTATTTCTGTGTGTCTTCTTGAAGTTGCTGACCTCTTTAAAGATGGCAGTGGTAGTGGTGATGGGGAGTTGGACTTCTTCCTTCCTGCTGTCCATCAACATGGTAAGCCCTCCCTCTTCAATGCATATTGAATTATCCCAAATGTTTTGTTGTACCTGGCCTACGTTGCAGTTGTGCTTTCTGTTAGCTAGCACTACGTGACCAATGAATTGTATGCAGTGGTGTACCACAGCTGAGGCTCACTGGTAGCATGTGCGTTTTCTGGTTAAGAAGGACACAAATAGTTTTCTGCCACCTCAGAATTCTCAGTCCCCTTGAACTTATCACTGTAGCTGGGCAGAAAGTGATTGTCCTAGCAACAATAAGATGGTCCCTGTAATGCAATATGGTGTCCCTATTGTAATGCAAAGGATCTGGGAGTTCTGAATGGGCAATTAAGACCCATCAGCTTTACAAGAGGCCTGCTCCAGGTGAAGAAGAAAACTGCTAAAACTTGTTTGTTTGATATTGATCAGCATAGCTGACTTCAGGTTAACTCTTCTTTGGAAGCATGGTTGTGGGGATTGCTGTGCTGAGCCCCTGAAGTTTAAAATTTACCAGTATAACACTGATTAGACTATATGTCTGCATTTATAGCAAAATCTTGTAACGCTTGCTCAGAATGTATGCGTGTATGCATACACTATATATCTGGAATTGATAGTATACATAGGTTAAACAAATGATTGCCGAAAATATTTTGCCACAATATGGTAACTGATAATATAATGCAGATAAAATGACAGATTAATAATTAAAAAATTAAAGCTCATCCAGTAAAAAGACATCAAATAAAACATATTAGACATAAAAAGCAAAAGAGTGATCTACAGGGCTATAGGATTGTTTCATTTCCCAGATCCAAGCTCAGAAAAGAGCTCCAACCTCCGATCTGGGGTTCTGCACTTAGGTCCCACTGTCCACTCACAACCAGTATGGAAAAAACTTCTCTGGCTGCTTCTCCAAGGTCATAAGAAGACCTCAGGAGGAATTTAGGGAGTTTTCTGGAGCTGGGGAAGGGGTGAGACTGACACTACTAAGATGGGATGCATCCTGGTAGTGCCTCAGCTCCCGCTCTGACGTGCCACAGTTGGAAAGCCAGAATCAATTGTCCAGATGTTTTGCAGGGCAGGAGGAGCATGGAAGTGCTTTGGTCCTCCTTGCCTCTCCCACCCTGCATAGGATGCCCACATCCTGAGTCTGCTGGATTGCATTCTTTGATTCATCTCACAGATGGTTAGCTTTTAAATAACTCAATTTTTTGCATCAAGCAGTAGACTTACAATTCTGTGCATGTTTCCTTGGAAGTTGTTCCACTGTGTTCAACAGAGCTTACTTCCAAAATGTGCATCAGGTCAAAGACTAGGCTCCATCTGACCTTTTATAAATTATTCTTGCACTTAATTTGAATAATGGTCACATCTCAGAGTAAAACTGACTTTTAAGTTAATGACAGTCATTTCCTGCAATAGTTGTAAATCTACCATGATACAAATGTTATCTGATTTTTAAAAATTTGAATCCCCTTCCAATTTGAGAACTGTAGACTGGTTTGTATTTAAGCATTCTGTTAACTCCAATTGCACACACCCTACAGCATTTTGATCAACCTGTCCTCCTGCTTTAAAAGTTCATGCTTTCCCAGTTATGTCAAGAGGCGGCTATGAAGAAAGAGTAGACTAAGGTAGTTTGCCCCCCTCCTTGCTGACTGACCCTGCAGAAGATGTTCTCACGGCATTCATGTTCAGGATGATGTTGTAAGTTCTTCTCAAGAACATATGTCCCCCAAGAGTTGGGGCAGTTCAGCCCCCTTTATTTTAAGTGTAATGGCAGTGTAATAGGGTGCTTCTGGCAACACTGGTAAAAAGACATTATGCTGCTATTCAGTCATTTCTTCCCTGAAGGATTTTTTTGTGGAAAGAGAAAGATAATTGTGGGAAAACAGAGAGTGTTACAACCAGAAGAGGATATCATCAAGAACCTGCCTTCAGTAAAAGTGTAACTGAAGCAGGCTAATTGCCCAACGCTTAACCTGAGATACTGCTCTCTTTTTTCTTGCTGTTGTCTTATCTCCAATGATATTTCTCTTTTCTTCCTTTGTCTTGACACTTTGTATGCTATTCTTTCTCAAGCAGGGGTGTCACTAGGTACTGAAAAGGTTTCAGTGTGTGCCCATGGACATCAGGGTGGTGGGACAGATGGTTTCCTAGAGATTCAGGGTTCCAAATTAAAATGAAAGCCTTTGGGTTCTACCCAACAAGATTTGGTAACATCACCAAATCTTTTCACTCATTAGTTGAGCATTTACATTTTCAGACATAAAAATTATTAACTTCTGTGTTTTCTTAGAGTTGACTCTTCCTTGATTGATGATACCATTTTAGTCAATGTTTCATCCTTTGACGTTTGCTTTTATAAGTATAGCTCTTTAAAAATTATCTGCTGAAGTCAATAAAATCATATTGTTAAATAACAGAATGGTCAACATTTGCATTAACATGCAGTTGGCACAATGTATAATCTTTGTCTCTCTTGCTTGAAAATTGGCATTAGGAATGCTAGCACCTTTTTGAAACTGCATCCAAAAAAATCATGTAGTAGGACTTAACACATGCAGATGATCATTTCTGGGTGGTGCTGGGATTATCATTATGGTGCAGCTTTAGTCTTGTTTCCCTACTGGAAAAATGGGGTATAGGAGTACATGTCTGCTCTGCAAGCTGGTGATGTTCCTTTGCGGGTGGAAAAGCAATCAAATCCAAACATTTACCTTAGATTAGCTGAAGCTTATCTGGCAAAACACTTCCAAAGTTGAATATGTTAAAGCAAATGGTTAGAAGACTTGGAGCTGAAATAGATCAATCTACGTGTAAAATTGTCTCTTCCTCCATAATACATCCCATTTCACCATTTAATTGGGAAGGGAACACTTAATTTCCTTGAATTGCTCATCATTCTTGAGTTCTACCTCTAGATTTTTTTTTTCATAATTTCTGGAGAAACTGGAAGGAGATGTTTAGGAACTGTTACATAACAGTAATTTTCCACGGTTAGGCATATGGTGTATATTCTAGGCATATGGTGTATATATTTGAATGAGTATGTATAAGCCCAATACAACAAACTTAAGAATGTTTAGTCAGATGTAAGCCCTGCAGTAGAAGACCCATTCTCAAGAAAGGGTTAGAGAAAACCCTGTGCAATGAGATTTTCCCACTCTCCCAGTATGTAGGGGATTGAGGGGAAAGACGAAAAAATTAACTGCCCTAATTAAATTATACTTGCTCATACTAAAATCGGTATTATAGAGAACAGACTTTGTTGTTATCATTCTTAGTTATAGTAATAGGGCCTTCCCACTGGGCATTCCACATATTGAAAATGTAGATGCTTTCAAGAGTTTTCTGCTTCAAACTTCCATTTGTGCTGCTTCACCAACAGCCAGCCTGGGAATAGCATCTCACATCATAGTGACCATTGAAGCTTCTGATGATGCTCATGGTGTCTTTGAGTTTGGTGCTGGATCTTTTGCTGTCAATGGAACGGAACCTGAGGATGGAGCTGGAACGGTCGCACTTGAGGTCAGCATGTTTACGGATATTTCCCTGCACCTACCCATAGCATTTCCTAAAGTTTCCATAGTGTAATTTTTGCAGTGATGCTATGTGTCTGCATACTTTTGGAGGTCCTTTTTGAGGGAACTGATGTTACTGGGATCCCTCTTTGTAGTAGGCAGGGACCACATGAGAGGTAGGAAAGGATTGGAGCAAAATTGCACTCCCTTATTGCACTCCAATGTGGATGATGCACTCATTTACTCTGTGGGCATCCAGGTAATCATCTCATGTCCAAGAGATCCATCCTCACACTCACATGGCCTGGAATTTGATTGTGCCCAGGAAAGTATTCTATAATTTGGGATGACCATCTGAGCATTGTGCATCAGATGACTGTGATTTCCTTGACCTTGTGAGCATGCAAATACAGTATGGGAGCCTGGGTAATATGTGAATAGCCTCTCTATGACAATATAGATATGAAAGAAAAGCATTCCTGGCATGATTGAAGTATACTACATTCTGGTGAGGTAGACTTTCTAAATTTTGGGAGTGAAAAAAAAGTGAAAGAAGGGGAGGACTTGTCAAGGTAAACTCAGTAAAATGCACATAGATCAGTTCTGCATATATTTCCAAATTTATAGCTTAGTTATAATGCAGGAACTACCTAGCTACAAAAAATAAGACTCACATTGGTGATTCCTTTTGCATTGTTGCAAATATGTGTACCATGCATAGGACTGAGAGGTAAGAATGAGGGGAAGGAGAGGCGACATGTTAGACCCTTCAGCTAATTTGGGCAGTTAGGGGTAACATAAGAGGTCAGGGTGACCATATGCAAGAGCAGGTAGAACTTTGCCTTTGCTGCTGCAGTGGCTGCCCTTTGTTCATTTGGAACAAGTAATTGAGATCCGTAGGCAGCATCCGACATTTTATGCACAACTGCTCAGTTGATATTGGAAAGATTTCTGTTAGCTATAAAAATGGTAGATTTTAGCAAGTGACAAACAAGGCCTGAGACAAATCAGCAGCCTCCATCTGAAGAAAAAAGATGGCTTTGCATAAGCAGGGGAAGTCTACCTGTCAATCCTGTCCCAAATTCCTTGTGCTGACCGAAGTGGTCCAGTTTTCTGGGCTATTCCTCAGTGAGGGCAGCACTGAGGCTTAGACATATCATCGGCTGAGGTTCTTTGTCTTGCTTGATGCAACAATAACTTACTCTTTTGCTGTCTAGGTTGTCAGAAATCGTGGTGCCTTGTCCCAGGTGACTTTGCATTGGTGCATAGTGCCTGATGATACCGAAGATCTGGTTGCAACCTCCGGCAACATAACTTTTAATATCGAGCAAAGGAAAGCAAAGCTCATCGTGCAGATCTTGCCTGATGAAACTCCAGAACTAGACAAGACATTTTCAGTTCTGCTCATCAATGTTTCCTGTGGCCGTCTTGGAATACACACGGATGCTGCACTGACTGTTCTTGCAAATGATGACCCCTATGGGCTTTTAGTTTTCTCTGAGAAAAACAGGCCAATCAAGGTTGATGAAGAAACCAAGAATGTCACGCTTACAATAGTAAGGTTAAAAGGGCTCCTGGGAGTAGTCAAGGTTACATTTAGAACCATGGGAGATGAGGATGATTCACCATATCTGCCATCAAATGTTGCCAGGGCAACATGGGAACAAGACTATCTTCCTGTTTCGGGATTTGTAATCTTTGCAGCCAACCAAAGTGAAGCTACCATAGAGCTCCCTATTCTGGATGACAGTGAACCAGAGAAATCGGAATCTGTGTTTGTGGAGCTGCTGGGTGTTACCTTGATAAAAGGAGTCCAGTATCGAGCAAGTAAGACAAGCTCTATATTTCCAGACTTTGCTAGATTTGCAGTAATAACATGGAAAAGAATGTTGACATCAAACTCATGAACCAAATTATATTTTCTTGTTCAGATTAAACTTTCTTGTGCAGAATTATACTAAGTGATGACACACAGACTGCTTGGTTTGTGGGGTGGCTGTTGTCTCCTGCGCATGGTGAACACAACTGTAGAACTGGTTTCTGATCAATGTCGGGACTCAGTTTATAAGTAGACCTTGCCATGAGTGAAAGACAACAAAAGAATGAAATGTAGCTGCAGCATGCCAGTTAAGATGTCATAAGTACTCCTTAAAGATGTGCTGATATTACTTATCCACAGAGAAGTGACACGTTGGTAAGGCAATGGTAAATGGTGTGATGGAAGGAGTGCAATTTCCTTACCAGCAACAAAATGACAAGATGAATTTCTGAATGGGGTGGAAATGATCCTGATGACATGCTTTACCTGGTCTTGGGTGCTGCCTCAGTTGCTGCTTTTTCTGCCTTGTCAGCTTGTCACATCCTTTTCCAATTGATCAGTGTGTTTATTTCATTTACTTCATTTATGATTATTATCAGGCTGCCATGCAGGGTGGAACTCTGTCAAGGTGACATGCTGAGCTTAGTATTGGGTTTATTAGTTATCCCAAATATCCTCCTTTTTTGAACCCTGGTTCCATTGTGTCTCTCTAGAAATGTTGTTTTGTTCGCTTTTTCTGGTGGGTGGAGCTGGCAGCTCTGTAATGTATATCTGATGCATCATTATATGTTACAATACTTGGAAGCAGTTCAAATCAAGGGCTACTGGTGGCTCCAGTAAGAGTGTGTAGATTGCTTCAAAGCCATGGTTAGACAGAGTCATGGAGAAGGAGGCTATACGGGACTCCTATCCATAAGATGCAGTATGCTGGGCCCAGAAAATCCAGTTGACATCTCTGGATCCACAGTGAAAAACAAAGAGTGCCCTTAATGCACTTATTTGGAAAATTCTATATTATTTTGCACATCAGAGTTGCCCAAGCTGTCCAGTTACTGTTCCTTTAGTTCACAATAAGCAGAACTGTTTCAGATATGAAGTTCTGAGAGAAACATGTATATTTCACCTTACCACTGCCAGTAATGATACTGTAATGGAGAATAAAACCTGTTTCTATTAAGCTCAGGAGAAATGGCACGAGAAGCTCTGGTGCATGGCCAGTGTAGAAGACAGGCATGGCTGGGCACTGCTGAGGGCCCATTTCCTGGGGTGGGGGCACTGACAATACCACCCTAGATGTACTCCTTCTCTGTTTGCTCACTGGACACTTGCTGTAGCTCAGAGAGTGGTGATGGTGAGAAGGCAGAAAATGCCATTGTCTACCTGCTCTTTTTGTCAAGTGGTAGTCTTGATGAGGGAGAAGATGAGGAACAGGAGCAGCTGGTAACAATCACAATGAGAGGGAAGGGTAGGAAAATGCCCATTCAGGCCTTCAGAAACCTGGAGCCAGCTCTGTCCTGGTGGATTGCATCAAAGACCAATTTGCAATGCAATGTTGAATAGGGTAGCATGAATTCCAGGACATGGTCCATCATCTGCCACTTTCAAGGCCTGATTGGTGCACTATAGCAAGGACGAGGAGGAGTGTGTTGGGAGGGGACCTATTTTTCTGCCATGTTATGTGTTTTTCTGTTTCCCTTCAACTACTTCCAGTGGTGGTGGTAGGTGGGGCATATATGCCATTTCCAGGCTAATGAAGAGGGAAAGTGGAATCTCAGGGGCTTCTTGAGTAGCAATGGGCCTTTGGATCCTTCCTTGCATACCAATGCACAATTTCGGAATGCACTTCCACTGCCCTCTATCAGCATGGACATGGCTGTCACTAGAGCAATTCTTTGCCAACAGTGGGGGACTCGCACCCATCATAACTCCCCTTGAACAACTGTCCAGGGGAGTTAGGATTGCCTACCCATCAAGCATTCTGTTTTTGAAATGCAGGCTTCTTCTGAATCCACAAAAGGACATGAGTGCAACAGCCTTTCTCTGTTTTCTTACCCTCTTTACTGTCGTTGAGAGATGCACTGTCTAAATGCAAAGGTTCTGTTTAGTTGTCATAGCTAATACAACTCAAGCTTTGGTACTGTCCTGCCTTATGCATTATTAGAAGTTTGGGCTGGGGCTAATAAATGAAATGAGATCAGACTTCTTCTTTTAGTATAACTTTTCATAGCATACAGCTTTTAAAAGACAATTCAGAAATCAGCTGTATTCTTCTTTAGTTTGTGATTAACACATATTGTTTAGGACTCTGTAAAAATTTGAAATAGATTGTTTAGCTAAATGTTGTTGGCATACTGTGTTTGCTGCCCTTAGATAAAATGCTGTGAATATCTTTTTTCCAAGAGTATAGACCAAGGATGCTGAACTTTTTTCAGTCCGAGGGCCATATTCCATTTGGAAGAAAGTCTTGGAGCTGTGGAGGGAGAGCAGATTTATGGGTTTACTACTAATAACGGGGCAAAGGAAAAGGGGCAGTACAAAACCCAGAATTACTGACATATTTTGGCTTAAAGGTATTACTGCCAACCTGTTGAAGGCTTTAATAGAGTATTTCCAATCTTTCAGAGTAGAGAAAAATGCACAAAAACTTACCAAACAATAAATGACTGGGGGAAAGGGTGAAGCCAGAGGGGAGAAGCTTGGTTATTCTGGGCAACCACAGAAGGCTGGACCAAGAAACCGGGCCAGCTGACTTGGTCTTGGGCTTAGGTTCTGTATTCCTGTTATGCACATTAAAGTAGGCCTCTGGGTCAACTCTGTTCTGTTGTGTTTTAGTTTCAGATTCTCCTTGCCTCGGGCCTAAAAGTGATACAATTGCTCGCATCATTATCAATGCCAATGATGATGCCTTTGGAACACTGCAGCTGTCAGCCTCAGCTGTGCGAGTGGCTGAACATTACATAGGACCAATAATCAATGTCACAAGAAGTGGGGGAATTTTTGCAGATGTCTCAGTGAAATTCAAAGTGACGCCAATAACCGCAATTGCTGGTAAGAAGGAGAGGTGGATTAAATCATGTTGAAATGGCAAATCAACAAAAATGTAGGTTCATTTCCAACAAATGGCAAAATAATGATGAGTAAACTACAGTAGAGCATAGAACCCCTATGCTCAGGTTGGTGGATAATCCAAAAATTATATGATCACATTTGCCTTATTTGAGTATCCATTACTCTTGTGGCTTAAACTGTGTGAATGGACCAGTGTGCCCCATGCATGCTGGCTGAGAAATGCTGGGTGTTGTTGGACTTTTATATATGCACCAGGTGTGGCCTGCTTCAGAGACATAATTGCAAAATACCTTTTAGGGTTAAGAATGATGGGCTGGTCTCCAGAGATCTGGGTTCTAGTGGCCACTCAGCCATGAAACCAGTGGGTGACTTTGAGGCAGCCTAGGCTATGCCACAGGGTTGTTGTTGTGAGGATAAAATAGAGAGGGGGAGAATTTTGTAAGCTGCCTTGGGTTCCCTGAAAGAGGAAGAAAGGTGGCATATAATTGCAAAACATTAATAGAATGTAATAGTCACTATTCTTTCAAGCATTTTCATCACATTTCTCTTCATATGCACCCACAACCTAATTCTCATCAGAACTAAATTTCTATTTGCATTTCTTGGGAATGCAAAATCTTCAAATGTTTAAGTAAGCACTTTCTTCTAGTATCACTTAAGCATTTTTGTCATTTTTTTCCTGTACAGGTGAAGACTACAGTATAGCCTCATCAGATGTTGTCTTATTAGAAGGGGAGACCAGTAAAGTTGTGCCAATTTATATAATTAATGATATCAACCCTGAGGTTGAAGAGTCTTTCCTTGTACAGCTGCTCAATCAGACAACGGGGGGCGCATTGCTTGGAGGTCTCACTCAAGCCGTTATCACCATTGAGGCCTCTGATGACCCATTTGGCTCTTTTGGTAAGATGGAGTGTTCCAATGGTATAGTCCCATCCTCAGATGGACAGTAGCTGGTATAATGAGCAGTTAATTACAAGGCATGGCCGTTTCCCAGAACATTTGCTCTTATGAGCAGTGATTACTATGTGTCTGTTTCTGGCAAAATGTTTAGAGATTGCTTCATCAATTTGCAGCTGCAGGACATCATGTGACTACCCAAATTGCCATAGATTAGTGGCCTTCAATTCACATTGGTTTCTCAAAGATTTTGGCATTTAGATCTCAAGACTAAGATGTGTTTGCACCTAGCTTGCCTTTGTATAGGCGCTCTTTTTACAGCCAGTGTAGCCACTGTTCTGCCCCATCCTGACTCTGGCCTGGGGGAGCAACAGCTTTGATTCTTTGTCCTTACTGTTGTCCCAGTCTGACACCTGCCTCATCCAGTAAGCCTGCTCTTCACCAAGGAAGGCAACTTAGCTTGTCCCTAAGGCTTAAGCCGATCCTGTGTAGTTAGGTGCTTCCCCATAACACCAAGCAGCCTAGTCAATGGCCTGAAAAAATGGCAAAGGAAGAAAAGTACATGGAGGGGTGAACATCAAGGACATTTCTCTCTTAGCCTAACATGCTCTACAGCTTTGTTGCAAAGATAAAATGGGGGGTGGGGGAAGCATGTACAGTCATCTTGAACTTCCTGGAGCAGAGATGGAATATGACTAAATGCATGAGGTAATTTTAAAAGGCATGGCCATGTGTCCATATCTGGTAGCTAGGTGACTAGAAGGTTGAATGAGGTCTTGGGAGACATGGGTTCAAGTTACAACTCATCCATGTAGCCCACTGGATAACTTTGGACCAGGCATTGATTCTCAGTCCAACCTTCTTCACAGGGTCTTGTAAGGTCAGCATGGAGAGTTAGAGGATTGTATAAGTTGCCTTGAGTTCCTTGCAAGAAAAGAAGTGAGGTCTAAATGTAACAGTAAATAATAGAATAAATAAACTTGGGGTGGCACAAAGTTCATCTGCAGTTGGAAGAGCGACTAACAACTTTGATTAGCAGGGGAACCATCCTGCAGAATCCAGGGTCAACTTACTAAGGCTATGTGAGGCACTGACTAGGTTCACAAAACACAATAAACTATGGTGGCTTGTAAGCTAGAGATGGTTTGTAGTGTTGTCTGAGCCCAGCAACATGGGTTATTAACCCCCCAAAACCCGGTGTGGCTGGGTTCACACAACACAACAATCCACCCCTGGCCACCATGGTGAGGTTCTGCAGTAGCAGCTAATATGCAGAGATGGGTGCAGTTTATAGCAGGCCTGGCAGCACCATCTTTACCTGGGTCTCAGCAGACCTTGATCTAGATCACACGTTACTGGTTGTCCCCTTTTGAACAGGACTGGGGGAAGACAGGCTGGGGCAGCCTGATGGGCACTGCATCTCTATTACTCGAACGTGGGCCTGTCGTCTCCTCCATTTCTGCATTTCTGGGGCTGACTGTAGGTTGGCTTCTCTTTTATAGAAGTGTATTCAGTCTAGGCCTGTCCTGCAGCTGGTTAAATCTGCTGCTTATTAGTGTTCTGTCTCATAAATGCCACTTATTAAAGCAACCTCATCTTGCAAAGGTTTATCCCAATGTAAGCACAAAGCTCCCTCCTCTACTAGTCTTCCAGATCACTGAAATTGCTGCCGAAGAGCCTGAGGTCGGCATGGTGAGGACTGATCTGCCAATTATTCGCAATGCGGGTACACTTGGTAACGTGACTGTCAAATGGATTGCCACCATTAATGGACAACTTGCCACCAGTGACTTGTGGACCTTCTCGGGGGACATTGAATTTGCTCCTGGGGAAGCCATGAAGAATTTGTCATTGGAGATCATGGCTGATGATATTCCAGAAATTGAAGAGGTGAGTTCAGGAGCTAGACAAAATGTGAAAAGAAATGCCTATTGTGTCGTTTTGGTAAATGTTGGTTTATACAACTTTAAATGGCTCATATGAGTCACTTGTGAAAACAGTTTGCCAGGAAATAATAAAAGCAACTTTGGACTAGATCCAGGCATCTCCCTCTGCAAATTGAAAGGTCCCTTTGATTTGTAGGGGGAACCATGATTTAGTGGAGACTTCTTTGGAGGAAGGGGACAGGGCAGTGATTTTGGGGGTTTCTTCCTGTAGGCCCTGGGATCCTGCCCCAACTCTTCTGCAGCCCCCAGAACCACAATCCAACAGCTTATTAGGAGGCTGCAGTAGAAAGAGGGGATGGGATGGAAAGCACTGCTGCATCCCTGTCTTCCAGCAGCAGCTAAAACCTACTGAATGCAAATCTAGATCCAACTCCTTGGCTTTTAATCTACTGATATTGTGATTTTCCAGGCAATTCAACTTTGGCATGGAAATTCTGTGGACCCATTTTGTAGGGGAGTTATATTTAAAGCTCAAAACCTCCACCCAAAGTAGTTAGTTTCCCACAGTACCTTTTCTCTGGATTAATTTTCAACAGGTTTACCCTCATCCACCCTAAAACAGCATCTAGACATGGGTTCATAAGTTTCACAGTCTCCCTGAGATATGTAGAGGAGAAAGAGGTATTGTCCATCTTGTCCAGCATGGTCTATAGTGACTGGTACTGGCATTCCTGGATCTTGGCCAGAGGTCTTTCACATGCCGTATTACCTGACCTTTTATTAAACTGGAGATTCCAGAGATTGAACTTGGCATTTTCTGCATGCAAAGCATCTGCTTTGTCTTTGAGCTATGACCCCTATGCATTCATCTCTAATTTCCTGTGTTGACTTTCCAAAAGGTATAGCATCAGCAAAAGCAAAAATTGATATGGAAGCTCTTCTGCAAACTACTGGTTAGAGGCAAACTATATACCTAGCTGTTTAATGTTTGACTACAATCTAACAATGATGATGAATGTTTCTCAATTACAGCACCAGTAGGAATAGGAGAAAGTCAACATGAAATTTCTTAATTTGCTTCGCTGAGCTCGGAGATGATGACTGTAATAATTAGAAGCAACTCAATATCTGCTAAGATGTATCAAGTGTAGGGAACATTAAAAGCTGATCTCTGTTATGAGCATTCTAGTCATGTGGGGTATATGTTACTTCCAGTACTGGAGACAGTATGCCTCACCTTATCCCACACCTGTGCTGAACAATACATTATCTGAAGTATACATCCTTTTGCAATGGATGATTTTTAGTAGTTGTTTACAGTCCGATTCAAAGTGGTGATTTCTTTTCACACTCAAATGAGATTGCAGGCCACCTAACATATTTTCTAGGTTATCCGAGTGGAGTTAACTCACGCCTCCAGTGGAGGTGCTATTGGACCAGATGGAGTGGCAAATGTTATCATCCCTGCCAATGATCAACCTTATGGCATCATTTCATTTCATCAAGCCTTGTACCGAGTTCAAGAGCCACTGGAGAGAAGTTCCATTGCAAACGTAACAGTGAAGAGAAGGTCGGTTTTCTACTATGCTATTGCTATTTTTCCCAAGAAGAAACTATTCATAACAACAAACTAGTTGGATAGCTTTATAATTGTTCAGCTGTATAGCAGCAGAGTACCTGGGAAAAGTTGATGTTATATGCAGGAATTCTTGTTCAGACTGAAATAGAAGATGCAGTTGAATCAGAGATTAGCAGTGGAATTCATTGTGTAATCTAAACCATTTTGTGAGTAGCTGCAGCAGATCAGATGAAACAGCCAGAAATTAGTTGAGGACTGAGACCAAATACAGTTGCAGAAAAGGATGTGAGCGACTTAGAAAAAATCAAGGAAGAAGCCCCAAATGCCTGAATTTCAGCCTTTGGGTTTCATATGCTCCTCCATTGGGATATGACATGTCTGAAGAGCATATCTCTTCCTAAACAAGAATATAACATGCTGTTATACAGATGTCTGCATTAGCCATTGTCTCTGTTTGTCAGGAGTATAACCTATTTCTTACCTGAAAAGCTTGGAGTAGGTAACATTTACAGAAACACAGAATGGAAACATGTAAACAAAAATGCAAAATAACAACATTGAGGAAAGCCACAGTACCATTAGGTTCTTTATGTTATACAGTTTTAATGAACATGGTAAAACATATTGTAAGGGACCTGAACTGTGATTCCCTTGTACACTTTTGCATATATTCAATAATGTACTTCTGAGTATGAATTTTGGCTGAATCCAAAGGTTGGGTAGGAACAAAAGAAGTTCCAGGTAGCAAGGAAAATATGACAGAGGGGGAGTGGCTTGGGAGGCTGAAGCTGAAAAGTAGAAAGAAGCTTTTTAATAACTGGGCACAGAGTGGAGGCTTCCAGCCCCTGAAATCGTTGGAGAACTTGTCTGTCGCAGCACTTGATTACTGTGGGAGATTGTGGGTGAAAGGGATCAGTTCTATGGACTGTATTCAGTGTTGATTGAACTTAAGTCCCATGCATTTCAATGGGTCTCCTTTACGTAGGATTAAAATTGGATATAACATAATGGGCATATTCTTTCTTCTCCATTTTTGCCATTTCCCCCTAAATGTGAAGGGAATGCCCACTTTCTTCTCCACTGACTTCTTTCCTTTCTGGTTATGCCAAAAACTTCTGGATTGATGTTACAGCAATTAAGCCGTTTACAATATTTGGGAATGCAGAATCGTTTTAGAATTTGCATTTCCCCACACGAACATTCTTTCTCAAGTATTTAACAGTATAAGAGGAACTGTCTTGATTAACAGAACTCTCTTGCTTTTTCTTTTTGCAGTGGTGGAACATTTGGCCAGCTGCAGATTTTCTACAGCACTTTTGAAATGGATGTTGTGACTCTTGCAGTCGAGCAAGGCCTGGGTGTACTGTCCTGCTATGAAGCCCCTGTGCCAGGAATGCCTGAACTAACTGAGATGACTAGAGTCAATGTCTCCTTAGCAAATGATTCCCTGTACGCTTGTGCATCGCTGTGCCTGAAAGAGCCAGCATGTTCTGCTTTCTCCTCCTCCAGTGCTTCTGGAATTCCATTGTGCTTTTGGGTGACTTCCTGGGGTGGCCAAACCACGAACAGCTCAGGATTCTGGACCTACAAGAAAAACCTTACCACTCTAGGCTCTATTCTAAGTACAAGGGCAATTGCTAGTAGTGACTATGAATCTGTTACAAGGCAATGGGTGATCATGGCAGATGGAGCGGAGTTTGTAAATCTCACAGTAACCATCCTTCCTGATGACTTTCCAGAACTGGATGAAAAGTTTGTCATCTCTCTGTTAAAAGTTGCACTGATGAACATCTCTGCCAGCATAGAAAATCAGCCAATCATAGGACAACCAAACAGCTCTACAGTTGTCATACTAATGAATGGGGATGCCTTTGGTGTGTTTGTGATCTACAGCATCAGTCCCAATGCAACTGAGAATGGTCTTTATGTGGAAGTTCAAGAATGGCCCCAGAATACGGTGCAATTAATGATAGATCGAACAGAAGGTAGTCTGGGTCAGGTGATAGTGGAGTGGAGCATAACTGGTGGCACAGCTACCCCAAATCTGGATTTCACTGGTGATGGGGAGATCCTGAATTTTGCAGAAGGTAAGGAATTTGGGAGGGTACCTAATAATGACATGCTACTCAGAACACTTACGTGGTAACCTTGTAGGGTGATGGTGTCTGGAGACTGCCTGAAGCACATGGGAGTGGGGACCTACACATGTGGTGCCTTCTTAGTTCAGCATCCTTCAATCAAATCATACTTTAGATTTCATGAGTGTGCAAGATGTGCACATTCTTCAGATAAAGAAGCCAATTCAGGGGCTCAATTTTGCCCAACACTGCCAAAAAAGGAGAAATGTCTCATGGTAGCTATCCCTGGGTAGAACTGATCTTATGAGCTGAATCAAACTGTGCAAGATGTGATTTGGCCCATAATTTTGATATGCATTCAAATTATTTCTGGTATCAAGGTTGATGCATTTCCATCAGTTGACACAAAATTGCCTGCTCAAGACCACAGGGGTAGTGAGGGAGCCTTTATCTTGCCTCCATTCAGGTGATCCTACTCAGGGAAAAGAATAAGGTTAAAGCTTTTGGATCAGGTGTGCTGGGGACAGTACATGTGTGCATGTTGTTATCTGTGCATGTTGTTATCTAGGACACAAATGCACAGCAAGGGAATTCTCTGAACACTTCCATCCAGAGGGTAAAATATGGAAGTTAGCTAATCCTAGCACATGCATTTTGGAAGATTTAATCACTTTAATACCCTAGTCATGATTCAGACTGACATATAATGAAGAACAGTTTTTAGTTGTGAGATATTGCATATTTTGAAGATCCCAGGACCAAGCCGAACAGTCTGTCTTGCATGCATGGTAGAGCCAGGGCTGGATGGATGTGACATTTCATGGAAACAAACCAACAAACAAGGCTTAACACCATGCTCCTTCCTCAACACTGCTGTCTTGATCCCAGGTGGGACTGTGCATAATGAAAACCACCGTACCATGCACCACCATAAAAAACTTTACCTTTTTATAGAAAGGTATAAAAAACTAAACAGAATATTTAGTTTGATCCTTCAGCCCTAGTTTTTGGAGGCAGGAAACAATTAGCCTGATTAGCCACCATGTACGAAAAACTCCGGGATGTGGGTGGCACAGTGGGTTAAACTGCTGAGCTGCTGGGCTTGTTGATCAGAAGATCAGCAATTTGAATCCAAACAACAGGGTGAGCTCCCGTTGCTTTGTCCCATCTTCTGTCAACCTAGCAGTTTGAAAAAAAATGCAAAAGTGAGTAGATAAATAGGTACAACTTTGGTGAGAAGGTAACAGCATTCTGTGCGTTTTGGTGTTTAGTCATGCCAGCCACATGACCACAGAAACTGTCGGTGGACCAACACTGGCTCCCTCAGCTAAGAAATGGAGATGAGCACTGCCCCCTAGAATCAGAGACAACTGGACTTGGGGAAAACTTTACCTTTTATAAAACACTCAGGGAAAAAACTCAGGGAAAATGCATATGAATAAGTAGGAAAAGGAAAATGCACACACAGAACCATGAGCTGATTTCCCCATGTTTACGAGCTTGCCACAAGAATCCTCATTAGTTTGCTTAGTTAGGTGGAATACAGATTCTGCCAAATGCTGGCATGATCATGTAGAACGATTAGGCAGAGATCTCTGATTTCTTTTGCCAGGTGAAACGAAAAAGGCAATTACATTGACAATTCTGGATGACTCTGAGCCTGAGGATAATGAAAGCATCATAATCAGCCTGACCCACACAGATGGTGGCAGCCGCATCCTGCCCAGCTCGGACACTGTCACGGTGGTCATTCTGGCCAATGACAACGTGGCTGGCACAGTTGCCTTTCAGACAGCCTCGAGGTCTGTAATTGGCCACGAAGGTGGGTTGCTCTCTGTTTTCACTCCCCTGACCCTGTGCACTATCCATCCTCTTGTTAACACTTTTTCTCCATGAAGGCTTGCTTCCGTTTACTCAGCAGTTTGACAATGTGAGGAACAAAACACTGAGTGTCTTCAACCATTTTTACAGTGAGTTTTAAATCAAATAAATAATAACACCCCCAAAATGCCCCATTCTCTCTCCCCCCAAAAAAGATCTTCTGAGGAGATAAGGAGAAAGGTTTCATTAAGCAATATTTTGTAGAGATTCAAGGTTAAAGTAGACATGATGTTCAGGGCATTCATGCATAGAACTTGGCATGTTTTAAGACACAAATAGCCCCTGGGAGACGAGTCTGAGCATTACTGGGATTGCAATGGGAGTTTGATGCTGTCTTTACTGCTAAGATCCCGATGAAAATTCCTCCTGTTTTCAAAGAAGCTATTTGCATTGGTAGGAAATTTGCATTTCTCCTAGCACAAACATTACCTTTTCAGGAGAGTCATTTTTCAGAACTACAATGACGGCTGCCCTTGAAGATTGTCCAGAAGCTGCAGCTTGTGGAAAATGCTGCAGACAGATTACTAATAGAGATCAGAAGGTCTAAACACATAACAACAAGTTGGACCCATTTGCGTTGGCTGTATGTATTTTCAAGCTCAATTAAAAGTGCTGGGTTTAACTTATAAACCACTGTACAGCTTGGGACTGCAATATTTGATGGTGCACCTCTCCCATAGCATCATAGATCATGGGCACCATGATAAAGATTTGGGACCTGCCTCTGACTGTCACTTCAGAGGGAGGCTTGGTTGGTGACAAGGCCTTCCCAGTTATGGAACAATCTTTCCACTCAGGCATCCCTGGTGCCATACTTCAGTATCTCTGAATCTCTTCTTTGAACGGGGATTTAAACAGCTCAAATCGTATATTAGGGCATTATGTCAGCTTTCTAACAGGCTGTTCCCTTAATTTGTGCCACTTCCTATTTTTCTTTGAATTGTGTTTTAAATCTGACTTTTAAATGTTGTAGTATTATTTTCATGATACTTTACTGTTATCTCTATTTTTATGTTGTACTCTTATGATATTTTCTGTGCTGCCATAAACAGGTCAGATAGCTTCAGCTATTGGGAGGTATAGAAGCAAAATTAATAATACTAATAAAAACAATGGACAAAAGGATTACATTTTAGTATTTTCTGAGGGAAGATTTTTCTCAGGACCATAGCAGGGGAAGAAAGGGTTAAAATCCCCCTTCACTGCCTGCTGTACTCTTGATGATGGTCAAACTCTCATAAAAGCACACACTCATGCAAAGATGCTTTCAATACCACATTTAGTTTGGCACCTCCTCAATTTGTCTGCCCAAGTTTCCTGTGAAGGCCCCTGATTGAAGCTCCATTTGAAACATTTTCCCTCTGAATCTGTTTTAGCATCAATTACTATTATGAAATATCAATCCTTCCAGCCATTTAAGGGAAATACGGACAGATGTGCGACTCTTCTATTTTGTGTTGGCCCAATAATCTTCTACGGATAACCGAAGTGTTGGCCAAGGCAGTGCGAAACAGACGTTGGTCCCTTGCCCCAGAAGTAAGAATGAGCTAGCACAGACCAGTGCCCTTCCCACTTCTTTCCAAAATAGCTTTACTATTCTTGGTAACTCCCACTCATGCTAAAAAGAGTTTGCTTATATTAGGTGAGCCCCTGACTGAAACATTATTTTCTTTAGTGAAGGAATTCAGTAGCTAAGCCTTTATATCTAAAGTGCTTTTAAGAGGCTGTAAGCTGACTGTGGCCCTGAGATACACGAATAGCTGGGTTCCTACGAGAAATGGTAATCTTTTCTTTATATATGGCCTCCCCCAGGCCATATTGGCTTTTCTGTCATAACAGCAGCATCTTATTTACAGTGACTCCAAGAGGAGTATTTTCATAATCCAGAATGCATGCACAGTTAGCAGTAAGGTAAGAACAACACAAGCACAAACACGCAAGTGAATTGTTGTATAGTCTTGTCCTTGCCACTTTACCCAGTGGATAAGGTCAATGGGATTTACTTGCAATACAATACACTTAGGCCTGTAGGGTAAGTCCTGTGAGCAAATCCACAACCAGTGCCTCCGATTCCTATAGTCCTAAGATTCCTATAGATTCAGTAGAATACCAATGGCAGACTATGCCATGTGTTAGGAGACTGACCATTATGGAAGCATACACGTGAAAAGTAGCACTGTTCTTTTATTTCTGCTGGAACTGAGTAATGAGGAATCATGTAAAGTCAGATGAATATTTTCAGTGCTTTCAGTTGCTAGACAAAGTCTAGCTCTGCTGATATTTAACATGACATTTTGATATCTAAAGATTTTGCTGCATTTTCTGCATGGTCCACTCCAAACAGCAATGTGGAGAATGGGTTGAGCATGACTTGCCATTGATCTGTGCTTTGTTGTTAAGCTATTGTCTTACCTTCTCTTGCACTTAAATGAGAAATGATAGTTATTATCCTAAAATACCATAGCTAATACACTGGGAAAATGTAGATTTCAAAATAAAGGTAACACATGCCTTGAATGTACTTTTTACTAAGGGGCTTTACTGAGAGTCAGTTGTATCAGCTCCCTTATCTTTGTACACATCTCTTGTACATGAAAGGTCATCGTATCACTTTGAAGCATTCAGAATGGTCATCACTGTTGGCTTTGTGCTGTTACATGACTGAGCTTTCATCCCTTTCTCCTCCGCATTCATGATTCTGACCAGCATGTCAAAGCAGCTGTAAGTGAAAAGCTAAGAAGAGCCATCGGTGAGCGCAAGGAATACACACAAATACCATGGTGACCTTCATGAAACCTTTGCCAACGGCCTTATTTTACTTGTTGCCCCTCCCCCTCCCCCCACACCCAGCATGCGCTCTGGAACTGCATATCCTTTTATAGAACTTAGAGACTGTAGTGGGTGCTGACCTTTCCACTTCTGAAGGCTAAGAGGAGCCCAGATACAGGTCTTAAAAAAAAAAATCAGTTCAAAAACTGAAATGCTGAAGTTGGCAAAGTTTCCCTTCATCCAGTGTGAAGCATCGCTATGCCTCTAGTTGAGAGAACTCTACATATTAGGGAAACCTGCGCCTACATTCATGACTCCCCAGTTTCTAACCTTACTCCGTAACCAAACTGCATTCCCAGTTGCATCAAAACTTCTGTTAGTTCTTGAGTGATCCTGGCAATTGGCGTCTGCCTTTCCCGCTACTGCTGGCACTGACATGTGGTAGGAGACAAAAGGAGACAACCATTTCCTTTCGTGTTGAAACCTGTATGCTGCGCTGCCCTGAGATACAGATCACTTGAGTGAGTCCATGGCTGCTTACTCGGGACAGGCTATCGTGGCCTGCAATCCTGGCTGTGTTCTAGTCATACACTTGGTTGTCTTCCAGTTTTATCACAAATGTTTCATCAGTACAAAATTGTCCGACAGACTAGAATGTATTTCAGTGCAGCATTGAATAATACAATTAATTACTTTCCCATCATTACTCCAATAAACAAAGCAGGGGAACCATTCAACAAGCTCAGATTTTCAGTGAATTGGTGGATGCAATTAAAAAAAAAATTGGTGAGTGTGTTCAAAGGTAGGCTAGACATGCACATGGTGGGCATGTCGTAAATGGAGCAGCCTGGAGCCGGGGGTCAGACTAGGTGGCCCAGGAGACCCCTTCTGACTTACTCTGTTTCTATGTTTCTATGTTGTTAGAGTATTTTGGGGAGTGTAACAATATTTATATGAGAACACACATATACATTCCAATTTTGGTCTTTAGCGTTTTAAGTGACTGCAGATTTATTCTGCTCATGTAACAAATTAAGGCCATCTCATGTAGAGATTAATGTATCAATGGGGCATTTTAATTTCAGTACCCTACAGGAGGGGTAGCTGAAGGTGAATTGTCTGCTGTTTAAATTTTGGCTTATTTGTGACTATTAACCATAAGGGCAGAGGCTTCTGGGAGTTGAAGTCCCAAAGATCTACAGACCTAGCATTTGCACACCCCTGCCCTATTTCTTTATCATGTGAGATTCTTCAATTGTCTCCGAGCTGTGTACTCTAAAGGCTTCTCTGAACAAGGCATGTATTGTATGCTTGTGTTACTTCCAGAAGTTTTCAGAACCTTCTCATGATGTTTTTCTCTTCCAGGGCTTCTCCCATGTTTTCCAGTTTTGTTTTGTTTTGTTTTAAAGAAAAGGAAGTCAGCTATTTAAATTCAGCATCCTAAAAAGCCACAAATCTCCTATATTATGCTATTACTTTGAAATTGGTCAATAAAACATATAGGAAGAAAATACACCCAAAAAACAAAATCCATGTAAGGGGTGTATATTTCCTCCTGGAATGAAATCTGAAGAAACCACCTTAAAGCTAAAATGTTCATGTTGCCAGGGCCTGAGCTTAGTTACTGAAAAAATATTCAGCGCTAAGAAAAGCTAAATTGTAGCCAGTACGAATTATTATTTGCACATATTTCTCTAGTTTGTCCTCCTGTTGAAAGGAATAATAATAAGCAACAGTCCTTGACCGCTGGAGAACCAGCTCAGCCACATGCACTCACATCAACTTGGAGATTTCAAGGCATTCCTTATTTTTGCAGCCTTAATGACAAATGCTGTGCTTTCACAGTACAATTATGGCATTACTGCACACGATCACAGCCTGGTCTTAATAAGTGATTTATGTGCCTGTGAATCTAAAGAGATTAATGACTAGTTCTATCTTTATTTTCTAAAATCAGAATCTCAGATTCAGAAAATATTTAATTACTTTTAAAATATGATGGTTTAATAAATGTATATGAATATCTAATTAGTATAAAGAACATTTCAATAATGTATAGTATGATGCATGATAATGTGTAAACTAGATGCTTCTTTGCTATATGGATCTTCTTCCCTTTTGGCCATGCAATACTGTATGTACTGGCAAAATGAAACATTGTGCACCTGGAAAAGGAAGTAGTAATACATAGACAGCATAATATTTCAGGAACATGGATTTTCTGCAAGGCCAAATTATGTTGTTTTTGTTTTTCAATGTGGAGAGATACCTTTTCAGGCAGTTTATTTTCTTGTCATTTATGCTTGTTACAATCTTTGCAGACTTTAGTATACTTGATTATATCAATCAGTCATATTTGTTTGATTTATTTGAACGTGGACGTACAATACCAGAACAAAAGTAACTGCTCAGCTGAGGAACCGTGATCAATGCTGTCCTAATTACAAAACTGTGCAGCTTGACAAAGCCATGGCCATGCTGATGACTAATGTTCCTGACTTCTACACCATATCCTCACAATGTGTTTTTATTATATTTCAATTGCTATGTATTTGTTTACATACCAAAGTATGAATGGATATCTGTGCACATGGTATGCTAAACTCAAGTGACTTCTTATGAGTTCTCTCCTTTTAATTAAAAGATAAGTTTAGCACTGATCGTATCAAGTAAGTTTTATCTGAAATAAATGGAATATACAGGTAACTGCCAGCATTTTTCTGCATGCATTGTGTAACATTCCTCTATAGTTAGGAATGTTACTCTATGTATATTTTCCTGTAATGGAACCATTTTATGAAGTAATATGAAATACCTAGTACATACAGCATTTACATTTTCCTTTAGTCTGCAGGATTTTGCTTTTATTTTGATGTTTTTGCATGTTCTGGTGATAATTTGCTTCAATTCTATTTACATTTAAGTTGCCAGCATGCATTTTATTCATTCTTTCTCTACTTTTTGTTCTGTAGTGAAAGATACATTTTCAAGATTTAACATTTTTATGGCTTAATACTAAAATACTTAATTAGATAAAACTTCTAAAGCAAGGTTTTCTGTCAAACTATGTCTGAGCTTGTGCTTGCTAATAATGATATTGAAATTATTTTATTTATTGTTTGCATGCTTCAAGGTCTTTGAAATCAAGTAACTGAAACTAATTAGAAACTTGCTATGCACATTTACCATTAAAATTAAGTGGAGCTTCTTAAGACTGTCTTGGCATAGTTGAGGGAATTTAAATTGTTTGTAATACACCTTGTGCACAAGAAGTTCCTGGAAGGCTAGACCCAAAACTGATTTCTCTTTCCCTGTAGTTACTGTTAGGTTATACTTTATTCTACTTTCTAGGAGAGCTGTTGCAGTTTCATGTGCTAAGGACAGCACCAGGAGCTGGTAATGTTACTGTTGAATGGAAAATTCTTGGGCACCATCTGGAACAAAACTTTGAAAATATCTCTGGCGTACTCTTCTTTTTAGAGGTAATAACAATGAGTTTTTGCTGTTGCCTTTATATGAAAATAAAGAGGTCATATGAACCAGGAAAATCTGGAGAGAAGCTACCTTCCCTTACTTGCCATGCAATCCCATATAGGTCTGCTCAGAAGTAAGTCCTGTTGTCTACAATAGGATTTACTTCCAGATAAGTTTGTATGGTATTGTAGCCTTAATTGCTTACTTGCGTTCTTATCTACACAGTGAAAAGTCTTCACCAGGGCAGGGAAGAAGAGGTTTGATGCTGGTCTGTTCCATAATAGGATCTGCTATGGAAAGTCTAATATTCCTGAAAGTCTATTGTCACAATATCTTTATGAAGGATAGAAACAATAATAGAATTAGCTGTATATCCAAAATCAAGAAAATCTGTATCTACTTGCCTCACACAGGATATAGTGGCACAGATGCAGCCTTTGGTGCTAGTCAAACAGCTATAGGATACAAGGGACTGTGGTTTTATTTATTTATTTATTTAAAATATTTATATGCCATCCTATTCACAAAAAAGCCTCAGGACGGCTTACAATATAAAATATAACATAAATAACATAAATTCCTGACCCACACTGGCTGCAGCTAAAAACATAGAAAAAACAATATTAAAACTTATTAAAATATTGCTGGAATAAAAAGTTCTTAACCTGGTGCCGAAAAACAAATAATGATGGTGCCAGGCGTATTCCACCACAGAGAAAGCCCTCCTCTGGGTACTTTGCCTCCTATTATCTTTCACGGAGGGTTCCTGGAGGAGAACCACTATTGCCAATCTCAAGGGGCGGGAGGGCAAATATGGAAGAAGGCGTTCCGTCAGGTATCCAGGTCCCAAGCCATTAAGGGCTGTATAGGTAATAACCAGCACCTTGAATTGAGCCAGGATTTCGATGGGAAGCCAGTGTAGCTGGTACAGAGTTAATATACCTGAACTGTTCCTGGCACTCCGCTCCTTGCAGAGTCGCGAGTCACTAATTTCTGCCTTTAAATAACAGGGATCATTGAATGCAACATTTTATGTTCACTTGCTGGATGACCATGTTCCTGAAGAAAAGGAAGAATATCACGTAATCCTGCATAATGTCAGAACTCAAGGTAATGTAGTTATTCTGGAGTAATATAACATAATAATGTGGACTGATCCACTTTTGAAATCGTATTACTTGATTACTAAGCAATTTGTGATTTACAGATGGGTGCATGAAGAGGTAAAAAGTATTGTTTTTGAGGTGATATGAACAGCCTGTCTGTTAATGTTTGATCACTGATGGCTTTTGTGCAAGTCATCACCTGAAGTTGCGGTCATCAAAAGAGCAGTATACAGGTGTGAGCAATACAAAAGACACTATTTAGATGTTCTATATCGACAGCACTGTTTTAATTTAATTATATTAATTTATGTTTGTCGGATTATATATATATACACACACACATATATAGTGTTTTATCTTGTATATTGATTATGTTTTAACTGTATTATTGCATTTGATGTCATTGTTGCTATTTTTATTGCAATGGCCACCCAGAGAGCATGATGCTAATAGGCCTCTAATTTTATGAAATTTAAATAAATAAATAACTAAATAAATAAAAGGGCCTTGCTGAATCAGACCAGAGATCTAGGTAGTCCGGCATCCCCTTTCCCACAGTGGCTAACCAGATGCCTTTGGGAAGCTAACTAGCAGGATATGAGGTTGTAGCTCTCTTTCAGCATTGTTCCACTTGGTGCACAAAAGCATGTTTGCCTCTAATCTGGGGGATAGTAATATAGCCATTATGATCACCAGCCATTGATATCCTTGTTCTCCATAAAGTGCTCCAATCTCTTTCTAAAGCCATCTGATTTGGCGGCCATCAACACATCTTGCAATAGTAAACTGTGCACTGTTTAAAAAACTACCCTTTATTTTGGTCTGTCTTGAGTCTCCCACTAACCAAGTAACTAATAAGGTTCTGGTATTATGAGAGAGAAACAAAGAGTTCTCTTCTTCAATTTATGTGTAATTCTATAAATCTCTATTATATCCTTCACTTACTTTTCCTTTATCTAGTCTAAGTCCAAGTCATTTTAACTGGAGAGTGTGGTCTAGTGGTTAAGTATGCTGGACGGGGACTCCGGAGATCTGGGTTCTAGTTCTCACTCAGCCATGGAGCTAACTGGGTATCTTTGGGAGTCACAAACTCTCAGCCCAACCTACCTCACAGGGTTGTTGTTTAAGATAAGAATGAGAAGATGAGGAGAATTCTGTAAGCCTCCTTGAATGAAGGATATTAATTTACAGAATCAAGTGTGATCATACCATACATTTATACAAAGATATTATAGTATTATAATGTCAGCTTTATCTGTTGTCCCTTTCCTAATGACCCTTAGCATGGTAAGGATCATTTTCATAGCAGTTGCCTGCTGTGTTCAATCTATATTTTGAGCCATCTGCTAAAACTGGTCTGGTTTTGATAATTGTAGCATCTACCAAGTCCCAGAATAGTCTTTCCTTCCCAGCATTACTGAGGACATCAAGAGTTGAGCTACTTTTCCTATTATTTCCTTATTCATACACTAAGTTGGGATCATTATTTGAATGGTTGTTATACTGACTTATACCAAAGAGGTAGATAAAGGTTCAGTGGAACCTTTGCACCTATAGAAGTGCAAATAGTTTTGGAGAATTATATTACTGGGTGAACGCATGAAAAACCAGTCCATTCAGGAAATTGTGAATGGTCATTAGACATGGATTACGGGAAAATGGCCTTGCATGGCTGACATGCTGGTTGGCTGGAACCCTGAACAGAATATTACATATTGTAGCATGTTATTGCCAATCCCAGTTGTAAAGACAGTAATTGTGATGTCATCATACTACGAACCAGGGCCAGGCTAGATCAGACTGAGGGTCCATGTATGTTCATAAACTAGTCAGCCAGCTTCCTGTGAGAAACTGCCAAGTAGGAGAGCAGGTCGATAGCATCCTCCTGCATACATTCCTCAGGAACTGGTGTACTGCCCATAATATTAGGAAATGCAAGAAGCCTTCAGGACTATCATCCATTGATAGGTTTATTCTCCATGAATATGTTTAATCCCACTTTTGAAGCATCCAAATTGGTTGTCCTCACCACATCTAATGGTAGCACATTCCACTGTTTAACCATGTGCTGTGTGAAGAAGCGCTCCCTTTCGTCTGTCCCAAATCTCCTACCAACAGCTTCCCGTGATGATCTTGGATTCTAGTATCCCTGCTAATTCTTCCCCCTGATTACTGTATAGGCTTTACAACAGCACCAAACAATTGAGTTGGCACTGGGATTGCCTGAAAAAGGTGGGTGGCCAGTTGTTTAAATATAGTCCATTGATTTGTTTTTCAGGGGTCAGTTCTGCTGGAGTTGCAATCCTTGACAGTCAAGGTTATGAAGCAGTCTTGACAGTGGAGGCTAGTGATGAACCGCATGGAGTTCTCAATTTTGCTTCTTCATCTAGAGTTGTTTTGGTCCAAGAGGGGAACAAAAGCATCCAGCTTTTCATTAACAGAGAATATGGATCTCTAGGTCTGTATACAAAGGTAGTCGGGATCTATACTAGTTGTAATGTGATAGGAACACACTCTATGTGTCCAGTTCAAGACTTGAAAAGCTTTATAGTAAATCACTAAACAAGTGAAGTCTCTATTAAAAGGAATTGCATCATAAAAGAAAGCTAATACATCATCCCTGGAACATCCAGGTAAAGAGAGAGATCCTGAGATGCTCTGTGGAAGGAGTCCCATAATTGATATACCACAGTAGAAAGGCCTTTGTTTTGCATGTCTAAATCTTCAGCCACCCAAGGGAGAGGAACTGAAAGAAACCCTCACTTGCCAGTCTCAAAGATTAGTAGGAATGGGGTGTGGGGAAGTTCATATGCCAAGTATTCTATGAGGCATGCTTGGACCAGGCATTTTAGGACTGTGTAAGTGAAGATGAGCAATCTCAGCTGAGTTAACCAGCAGCAAGAGCAAATAGTCAATCCGTTCTGTAATATGATCTTTATGTCCCCTCCCTATCAGAAGAGGGACTGCTGCACTTTGCTTCAGCTACAGCTTTTAAACAGTAGGGTGAATGGTAGTGATTGATCACAGTGGCTTTCTGATGTAGCTGTCATGGTTTTTGAATGAAATGGTTGGAGGGCAGCGTGTACGTACTTCTACAAACATAGCTACATAATTTCTTACATGTGTTTCACATGCATTCAGGCTGTTACAGGTAATAATTTGGAGCATTGTGGCCTTGGCCAAATCATAATAGCCAACTCAGGTATTCTAAATCTCACTCCTTACATAATCAAAACAGCACCACCTGCACATAGGTGGAAGACAACAGAAATCCTGAGAGATCTCGCAGTTTTAGGAAAGTACAAAAAATCTTCAGGGGGAAAACCAAAGTAGAGGGAATGCCAATGTGAACCATGGGAATGCAGAGTTTTGTTGTGGAGGGGCGGGCACAAAACTGAAGGGGGGAAGATGGAATGGAAAAGAGTATCTTGAGAGAGACATAGATGGAATACTGAACAAGAACACTCTACACTGTAACAATCTGTTGCAGTGTCCCTTTGTGGATATCCATTTTCATACAGCTGTGACACAAAGTAAATTATTTTGTGCATCTGTCTGTTCTGCATAGAATATGTCTCTGTTTCTCTTGATGGTGATTGTAATTATGCCTGAACCGTTAAGTTATTGTTTTAAATCTTCTGTTCCCTGTTCACCAGGTGTCATCAATGTCACCTATACAACAGTTCCAGGATTTCTTGGCTTAGGGAATCAGACCAAAGGGATGTTGGCTGAACCAGGAGTTGATTACGTATCTGTATCTGGATCATTGCTTTTAATGGAAGGTGAAACATCAGCTGCCATAAATGTAACTATTCTAGAGGTAAATTGTCTTTCCATCTAACACTGGGAAAAATAGATTTTGTTTTGATGGATGCAGGATTCATGCCGTAATTCTTGAAATACATGGGGGAGATAGACTTTCCTCTCTCTCTCACACACACACACAGTAGAAAGCCAAGGAGACTAGTTAATCACAAAGAGAAGTGGGTACATCTGGGTAAATCTGCTACATTAGAATGCATTCATTACCAATGTGGTGCAATTCAGAGACTTCATAATGAATAATGGGTTGCTTTGTTCAACCCCTTTCCCCTTCACTTGGCTGTTTTGCATTTAACTCTGTAGTAAATCTGCTATTGGAAATATGTCTTGTCACTGTCTGTTATGTTACGCATATAATATAAAGATTCACCTTCCAATTAATCCCTTTTTTGGAGAGGTGGCTAAAATCCAACACCTTCTGCAATGAATGAATGAGGTCAAGCTTCCCTGACCTGGTGCCCTACAGATATGTTGGACTACAATTCCAACCATGCTGAGAGCTGCAGTCCAATTTATCTGGAGAGCACCAGGTTGGAAAAAGTTGTTTTAAGTGGGCCTCTTCTGATTCTGAAATATTGGTTAAAATATGATTAACTGGAACATTTATTGTGTCTCTGTTTTGCAGGACGATGTGCCAGAGATGCAGGAATTCTTTCTCGTTAATCTAACATCTGTGGAGCTCATCATACATCCTTCAACTTCTTTCCCTCCTAGACTTGGTATTTTCAGTACTGCTGCACTGACGGTTTATATCTATATACACTATGACCTTAATATTGTTTCTTGCACGAACATTGATAAATATAGGAGTGCATGTTAGCCTCCTTATGCAAGTTTTCAAAAGTTGCTTCCTTATGTGAAATAAAAATGCAAAAGCATAGAAGTAAACTTCATGATCTGCATTCACGCAGAAGTATAAAATAGTGAATGAGCAAGGTTTGTTTAGTGTGCTGTTTGCACCCAGGATCTTGCCATTACAACCCAGAGGCACGGACAAGGGATGAAGGAGCCTCTTTCCATCCATGCACTTCACATCCATTTTCCTCCTTTGTGCCGCTTTTCTGAGGTCATTGTTGTGACCTTGAAAGAGCATCTGCCACAAAGCTTTATGTAACAGCTGGAGAAGGTGATGGGGGTGGGGGAGAATGCCATTCATCCCCCTGACACTTTGCCAAGGTTGCAGATCTTTCTATGGCCTTGTGGGTGGGTTGGAAACCCATCTGATCCTATGGCTCCCTGAGGAGTTCTGTTTTTGAGGGGCTATAGGGGTGCTTTCTTCCAGTATATTTTTGCTTTGTTTTTTGGTGAGCACAGGCTTCCTACACTGAATTTCACTTGACACAGAAGTTTTAGGATAACTTATGTGTCATGCTGCTAACGTTAAGCATTTTTTTCCCTGTATATCTCTAATATTTTCAATTTGACCTTTATTTCCATGCATGTAGATTTGACTGAGTTAATTCATTACAAACTTAAAGGTAAATAGAGACGTATTATGCTATTTGCTTGAGATGTGTTTGTTAGAGATAGTATAGATAATAGTTAGGCTGTTGCATAGTTGATGCTTACAATGGATTAATCTCTCTACATCAACTCAGATGTCTTTTGGCAAGTGGTGCTGTATTATAGTACATTATAATTTACCATGAGTATAAGTGTGATTAATTATAAGTGAAATTGCCATCACCATCATCCTATACCTTGCATCCTGGAGATATATGTACCCTGTCCCAAATATTTCTAAAGCATTTGCTCATAGATCCTAAACAAGTGCTTTAAATATTGTCTTTAGATGTAGATGGTTTGGCAGCACAGATTATTATCGATGCTAACGATGGCGCAAGAGGAGTCATTGGCTGGCAAAACACAAAGTAAGGTTCATCTTCAGTTATGGTAATTCATTGTTTTCAGTGGCTTGAGCGCTTAGCGGTTTTCTCTGATAATACAAACAGAATGTTCCTTGCAATCTCAGTTCAGCTAAATTCTAGATGAAAGCTATGACCCAAAGAGCATGAACTTGCACTGGTATCTCTAAATTTCTCTAAAGGTTTTTCTTTAGAACCTGCTATTTAATGTCACCTGAGTTCTAAAAGCAGTTTGGGTAAATGACTGTATTTCTATCTATATTCAGGGATAGAATAGACATTTAATGTTCACAAGAGACTGACTGGGGCACCATGCTTAGAATGTGGGAGATCTTCACACAATCACAAAGCTTACTGGTTGATGTTGGACCAATCACACAGTTTCAGCCAAACCTACCTCACAGGGCTGATGTGCAGATGAAATGGGTGAACAACAGAAGAGATGGATGTTGGATCAGACCAAGGGTCCTTATAGCCCAGTGTTCTTTTCAAACCAAGGACAACCAGCTGCCTGTGGGAAACACACGGATAGGCCATGAGTGTAGCAGCATGGAGCTGCAGATATCAATGATGCCTGGACCTATCTGGAAGATCAAGCACTATAACTAATACAATTGATAAATGAGAATATAAATATTCAGATCCTGGCATCTCCAGTTCAGAAACCTGAGACTGTTTGTTTATTTAATTAATTTCTATACTGCCCATTAACCAGGACAGGCTTGAAAGGCTGCTACGTACCACTCACAGTAGACAATACTGGGTTACATGCATCCAAGTACAGCCAGTCTATGATTTTCAAGCGCTGTATTGCATTTCCTGTACATACTAGTTGATGTAACTTCCGTCCACAATATGCAGCTGTTATCTTTAAATGAAATATATTATCACTAAGATCTTCCACTGATGACTGGTCAAAATAGCGGTTTTGTCTATAAAGTACCTGACAGCATATATTTAGCCCACTATGCTTATTGCCAATAAATGTAATAGAGGGGTTTTTCTTTTTTTATACCCTAGTTTTGAAATAGGTGAAGTGAATGGAAGTTTGACACTGCTGATATTTCGGGACCGAGGATCTTATGGGACTGTGTCATTGTTCTTGTATGCTCAGAATCTGGAAGCACAGCAGGGACTGGATTTTAATGTTTCCTCCAGGGTAAGAACAAATCACAATACACCAAGCAACTTTTTTCAGTGCTAAAATATAAATTCTAGGAGCTGGGAAGGGAAGGAAGGATAATTGAGATTTCTTCCACAAACACAGCAGGCAAGGGCGAGCAGGAACATTTTGAAAAGGTCCAAGTTCTATTGTGTTTTGAGTGCTTGTCAATTGAAAAACTAAGTCGCATAAAACCGTGGATGTAGGTGGTGGTGGGAATTGGGCCCACTCCCATCCACCATATATTATCCTGAAGGCCAGAACAAAGCCTCTGGAGAACTTTTATCCCTAGAATTGGTAATCTGGAGAAGTGCAGGCTTCTTGGCTGCATGTAGAGATCATGAAAGGAAATCTGGATCAGTGTGTTTCTATATCAGTTTCACATGTGTTCTCTCTTGTTCCTGCCTTAATGTGTTCTCTCATTTCCACATTCATTTTTTAAAAATCTGCATACAAATTATCTTTAGATATGTACTTTGAGCATATGCTTTCACAAAATACATATCTCTAAACATATTTAATCTAAATTCTCACACGTATGTACATATTTTATAGCAAAATATAGAAAATAACCATTTTGATAGCGTTTTGGGCTGAGAACCACTTTGCAACATTTTGGGAAGACCTAATCCAAAGGATAACTACATTACAATACACAGTCTGGGAGGCCAATTACCTTAGCGAAGGCACACAGATTAAATCCCTTACACATCCTTAGCTGTAAGCATACAGATTATGCACATGTGGACTCTGTCCTGAAGTTTGGATAAACATCTGGAAGTTAAAAGAAGAGGCAAGCAGGCTCGACATGTAATTATACACACACTGGTCATCCAAAAGGGTTTATACTGGCTACATCCAACGTGACATTAAGCAAAAGAACTGGCTACATTAGTGGAGTTTAGCTGCTTTTCCTGTTGTACAAGTGAAGGTCTAACATTAGACCCCTTTTAAATCTAAGATCTGCAAACTATGACACATTTTCAGGTCCAAGAGGGGTTGGATTCTCCACTTGTGCGTAGTCCTGCTAATACAACATCATTTGTGCTAGTGGATATAACCCAATACCTTTGAATTTTTATCGTGTTTGCTTTGTAAAAGGTTTGCTTCTTTTTTACATCTTTAAAAAGATATCAAACCTCAAAAAGAGTACTTTCTAAAATATTGTGCCAATATGCTTTGTTACTAGACTGTTTCTTTTGCTGATGGAGAAAGATATAAATACATTGATGTTATGATTTTTGATGATGAGATTCCTGAAGGGAATGAAAGATTCCAGCTAATATTAACAAATCCATCTCTTGGATTGGAGTTGGGAGAAAACACAACAGGTACTATTAATTACTCTTGAGTTCTTTCCTTTGTGATTGCAGACATATCCTGTGAACCATCATTAGCAGTAGATAACTATGCATTTTTCTTGTAAGATCATAGAAATCGAAAAAGAGGACTAAGTATCAAAGGCATTGAACAAAGAAGCAATAGCAGACAATCTGTTGAACTGTTTCGCAATTAGTTCTATTGTTGATGCAAACAATAATATTTAGGAGCTCAATCACTAAGGGAATTCCTCTTTCAGCTACTCCTCAATATTAAAAACCTTATAATTTTCTGGGTATTGTGTTGTGGTGAATATACCAGGACAATATTACACAAATGTTGTATACTACCTTGTCTCTGATTAAAAACCATTTACTGTGCATTATGCATTCAATTAAAATACATAGAATCATATCATAAAACATGAGGGAAGTCAATGAAATGAGATAGGTGTACTCAGTGATTTTAACATATTTCCTGACTTTAAGCCTGTTTTATGATTAATTGAATCAGTTCAACTTCATTCCACTTAAGCTGTAAATGCCACCAATTTCAGTGCATCTTTTGTCAGTGTTTGTAGAATAGGTATTTTGAAAATGCTTGATTAAATTGAAATGTTTCCTTTGGGCTGAACTGTGCCTTTAAAATATAAAAGAGTCATGATAGTATATTACAGCACACATCTTATGGGAGATCTAAGAGATGAAAGAGGAAGTTGTAGATTGATTGAAATAGTGGCTTGGTTACAAACGACAACAACAATTTGCCTCTTACATGAAGCTTGTTCTCCTATAATTATCCATATGCAAAACTCTAAGAAGATTCTTAAATATAAACTTAAATTAGGTATTCCTTATAATACAACCAGAGGTGTAAAGCAGTGGTCCTAAATCTACTTACCTAGGAGTAAATGCCATTAAACTCAATGAGATTTACTTATGAGTAGAAATATAGAAGTCTGTGCTGTAAATACTGTGCAGAAAAAACTCCCCATATTTAATACTGATGACAATTTTGGGGACTAGTGTTGATTTTTGGCCACAAGGCAAGATACTGTTTATATCAAATAAACAGTATGTTTATATCACATATGGATACAATGATCCAAGATGCATTTTAATCATTCCATTCATTTTCTGTTTAAAGTCACAGTGACCATCCTTGCCAATGATGATGGCCATGGAGTTTTGTCCTTCAACAATAGTGAACATTTCTTCCTAAGGGAGCAGACAGCCTTCCATTTGATGGAAAGTGTTGCAGTGTTAACTATTATCAGGGAACCTCTTCAGGGAATATTTGGGACTGTGACTGTCCAGTATCTTGTACGAGAGATAAACTCTTCTGAAGCATCTGTAGATTTGACCCCATCACAAGGCTACATTGTTTTAGAAGAGGGAGTCAGATTCAAGGTAATATGCAGGTAGTTATTACAAAATGGAAGATATTTTGTTTGGTTTTGTATCAAGGTATATCTCATTGTTTATAGAGGGGGGGAGAAAAAGGAAAATAAGATTGCAATCTTATGTCTACTTATCTGAGAGTAAACCTCATTGAATTCAAAGGGAATTACTTTTGAAAAAAGATTGCAGCCTAAATGGATACGAACTGAGCATATTTAATTTGAAAGAAGAAGGAGAAACTGTTTTTTGTTTAGAAACAAAGTCATGCCTGACCCATCATGACCCCATGGACAACATTCCTCCAGGCTCTCCTGTCCTCCACCATCCCTCGGAGTCCACCCAGGCTCACACCCACTGCTCCAGTGACCCCATCTAGCCACCTCAGCCTCTGTCATCCCCTTTCTCCTTTTGCTGACAATCATTCCCAGCATCAGGGCCTAGCTTTGCTTATGAATTATCCAAAAAATCTTACATTTTTGCCCAGTTGGGCTATCTGCTAGCTTCCCGCTTATTCAAGGCTAAATTATGAATAGTCTGGTGGAAAATATGTAAAGAATCGTGTCCAGTGATGTTCTGTAAATTCCGTGATGATTGGCCCTGTCAAAAGCATTCCAGAGTTTCAGTGTTGATTCTAGTGGGTCCAAGATTTTTCTGCTTATGCATTTCTTTTTTCTTACAGACTCTTCATATTGCTGCCATACTAGATGCCGAACCAGAAATGGATGAGCATTTCATTGTTACTCTGTTCAATCCTACTGGTGGAGCCAGATTAGGTTCAAGAATAGAAACCTTAATTACAGTTTTGCAGAACCAGGCTCCATTGGGACTTTTCAGTATCAGTCCAGTTTCAAATAGGTATATCATGCTGCTAGCTCAGTAAATACATTTTTTGTTTGTTTGTGGATAAGTTATTCTGTATTTTTGTTGGTTTCGGTACCTATGTATTGAAATATATGTTAAAATAGAGTGACTTGCAATCAAAGGTGTTGATTTGCTAGTGGAAGGGAAACTTTGGGGTAACAGATTCTCCTGTCTCCTGCAGCCCCTGACTGACCCCCATTCTGCTTTAAAGAATTGGACATCCCCTCAGATCAGATTTGGGGGACCATGCATGAATGGAAGTCTGGTTCTGCAGGGAGCTTTTGTTCATACAACACCAACACTGATTTGCAGCTAAAGCCAGATGATACCCATATATCAATAAGTCACAATATATCAAAGATATAGCATAATAAAAATGCAACTGAAAAAATTAATTTCAATAATATTAGCACCTACTTTCATTTCCACAACAAACACCAGTTCATGAATTTCCTGTGTTTTGTGTCTATAGCAACTTCACTCAGATTTGGTAGTTGTGTTACCTGCCATACCTTGGTTATCCACTCCTTAACATTAGTCATTTTTGGACTGTTGCACTGCTTCAGAATTATTATTATTATTATTATTATTATTATTATTATTATTATTATTAGAACATTTCTATGCCGCCCCTTGCTGAAGCCTCGGGGCGGCTTACAACACAATACAATACAATACAAAAATAACAATATAAAATTAAAATTAATAATATAAAATAAATAAAAAATGTAAACGATATAAAAGAAGTTAGAAAAGTTAGAAAAGAAAAGGAAAGGAAAGGAAAGGAAAGGAAAGGAAAGGAAAG